GCTTACACCGGTCCTGTATACGATGGGGGATTGCCATTCACAGGCTTGGATGGACAAGCTGGCACTTTGGCCGGAAGCCACAGCTGCAGCCAGGAGCACAGCCAGGCTAGCTAGGCCAGCAACGAAGTACTGCATGTTGCTAAAGGCTTTCTGGAGCCTTCCTCAATCTAGACTCTCGAGTCACCCAAGCTATTTTGAGCCGTTCAGACCGGAAGTGCAATATAACAGCATGGAGCGCATGCAATACAAAGTTAACAATTAGGATGGCCCTGCTGCGGCACACGCCTCGGTCAACACCTGGCCAACTTAACATGCCGGAGACTTGCAATCTCAACACCTCCAGCGAGTGCTCCGTGTCTCAAGAAAGTGCAAACCATACCGCTGCAAAAGCAGGCATTATTTTGTCAAAGCATTTTACAATGGTGAGTCTGTGTTTTGTAAAGTATAACATGCCGAAGACTAGAACCTAACTTTTGTGCTACCTCCGTGGCCTTGGCGGTCTGGCCGCCCTCCCCGCATTACTAAAAAGTGTTTGCGTGCGTACGTACGTAAGTATGTTGCGTGTCTATATATACATATATACACATATACATACCCTTGTGTATGTATATGTATGTATGTATGTATGTAATTATGTAGTTCGGTATACTAACGCAGTTACGTACGCATGCAGGTACGACATGGTACGACACAATTATCTTAGGTCGTAACGTGTATCGTACATGAGCACACATGCACACAGATATGCGTATACACATAGATAGGTATAGGCATTATAGGTTTATCTGCTTACATATGCGCATACATGCCTACACGCATACTGACATAAACACATGGTGCATGCCTGCGTTGTGGTACCTGTACATACCGTGCCATGAACATATGCATTTTCATGCACACAGACAATATAGATACACATATACATATTCATATACTGATACAAACATCCATAATACATCCTGACATCCACACACCTGGGCATACCTACATGCATGCATGCACACACATACCTTCAACCGTACCATACATACATACATACATACATACATACACACATACATACATACATACATGTATGCATACATCCATGCATACATCCATGCACATATGCATGCATAGGATACCGGCATACATACAGTCTACACTAACTCCATTGAAACCTGCTTGCACACATACATGCACAAGTACATACAACTATTACATGACATACACATCCATCCTTTTATCCATCCATCCATCCATCCCTCCATCCATCCATCCATCCGGCCAACCATCCAGCCAGCCAGCCAGAAAGCCAGCCAGCCAGCCAGCCAGCCAGCCAGCCAGCCAGAAAGCCAGAAAGCCAGCCAGCCAGCCAGCCAAGCCAGCCAGCCAGCCACCCGTCCACACATTTATCCACAGGTTCAGCATTGTGTCACCTTCATAGCCCTCGTACCAGCAGTAATTAAGAGCCTCAGCAGCAGCAAGACACAGAAACATGCAATATAGCTCTTACAGCACGAGGTGAAGGAAAAGACAACCATCCAGGGACTTATGCAAGTGTCTTACCCTAAACCCTGAACCGGAAACCCTAAGCCCTGATCGCTTCGCGGGATGAGCATAATTGCGCTAACAGACCATATAAAGCCTTGTACAAACACAGCAACAGAGAACATCAACACGCGCTGTTGTCTGGTAAACAAGATACGCTTAGGCTCTAAGGTCTCATATATTAAGGCTTTTGGGCCCAAAGAGCATACTATACAAGGCTTTGAAGCCGTTTTGAGCCTCAGGGATAGAGTACTCTGTAACGTCTGGAACGTAGTGGTCTGAATTACACAAAAGCGTGAAAGCCCACATGCTAAATCTTGCACCCTACACCGTAAGTCGTCACTCCTAGACCGTAGTAAACTTTTGAACCATCAGCCCACGATCCCAAAACCCGAAATCCCGAAAAGAAACACATCCTGACTCTGAAAGGCTTTTTTTGGAACCCTTCTCAAACTCCCATAAATGCCCCATGCACTGCTTGCGACCCCTTAGCCCTAAACTCCAAACCGAGCCGAGGGTCATGAAGCTTAAAACCTATCCCCTAGAACTTATAAACTCCAAACCCTCAGCCCTTTCCCCCCCACACCCCCCAAACAAGCAACCCTAAACCCTAAACACCAAACCCCAAACCCTAAACCCCTAAACCCTAACCACAAAAGCTAAACCCTGAATGCTCTAAACCCTAAACCCGCAGCGAATGCTCCTCAACTCAGCTGGCGACATGTCACTCTCTCCTCAGCCCGCGATCGGTTAGGGCTGAGGCGAGGGTTTCGGGTTTGGGCTTTCCCAGAGAGCCCAGTACCCCTTAACTCAGGAATATACCTTAAATCATAATATGAAGCCCTATACAAATTTAACCATATTCCTTAATGAAGGGGTATTGGGCTCTCTGGGTTAGGGTTTGAAGTTGAGGGTTTGGGGTTGGGGACCCATATGATGCTATTTCTTTCAAACCGAACACCGAATGCTAAACCCTTAAATAGGCCCTAAAACTTAAATTTTAAACCCTTATGGTAGTGGGATTATTAAAGCTTTCGTGCTCTGGGCCCTGGATTTGGGAAAGTGCTGGGATTGGAAAGCCGCTGAGATCCGCTGAAGCAGCTCATGAACGGAAACACCATAAGCCGGGTTTAGGGTTCTCATAAATCTTGAAGACTTACACAAACGTAGATCATGAAGCCTGAAGCCGCAAACCATGAGGAGTGAGTCTGCAACAGAGCAAAGGCCTGTAACTTCTGGGGGTGAAAGCCCCGCCCAGCAGAATCCAAAACTCCTGTCCCTGGAACCTTCTTTATGATGGTTTAGGGTTTGAGGTTAAGACTATGAGCAGTCGTTGGTTAGCTGTGGCAAGACTTTTTGAAGCATACAGTATAAGCAGTACCAGTAGCGAAACTAGTAGCAGAAGTAGTCGTAGTAGTAGTAGTAGTAGTAGTCATAGTGAAGGCAGTAGTCGTGGTGGTGGTGGTGGTGGTGGTGGCAGTGTAGAAGAACTTTAACAACGAACTACTCGAAGCAGAGAAGCAACGGCTGCAAGAATGAGTGCCGCCCCAAACCCTAAACCAGAGTTTAGGCTTTAGCATAGGCCCTGCACAACCCCAAGCCCTAAACCGAGTAAGGCTTTCAAAGCAAATGGCCCCCGCCTCCGATTTCTACAGATTGAGGCTGCTTGCATCATTACCCTGAGGCTCCATGTACACCCTAAACCGTTTAGGCCTTAAAGTACCTATATAGGGACCCCCTTAAGGCTTAAGTATCTACTGTCAAGGTGTATGGAGCCTTTGGGTTAGGCAGGCTCGAGAGTTGGAGCTGGCAGAGTCCCAACATACATCGATACCCTGCAAGGGTTCAAGTAGGGTTCCTTCAAGGGGTACCTTTTTCGGGCTCTATAAGGCTTCCTTAAGGGCTTTAGGGTTTAGTGCTTAAGGGTCCATGTGCCCAAATAGTATATAATCGTCCCTTAAAGCAGTCCCTATATAGATACCTTGGCCAAAGTATATACTATGTGGGTACATGGAACCTTATTGATAGGGTTTCGGGTTTAGGGTTGAATTTGCTTTAGAGTTTCAAGGCCTATGGGCTCACAGACAGGACGATACGCAAGATGCTGCTCCTGTTGGGGATTCTACTTCTGATGCGAATGTTGAGAACGCCGATGACGATAGAAAAAAGGATGAGGCTTACCATTGTGTCGATGCTCATGGCAATCGGTACATATCAACGGATGTGCATACGCTTATGTATCTGTATGTATATAACAGTGTATATATGTACTATAGTAGATGTGTATGCGTATATACACATTAAGAGGTACGAGCGCTGCGTTCTTTCTACGCACCGCCGCCGTTCAGGTCACCTCCTGTGAGCCCGGAGCAGGCAGCTATCGCCAGGAATCTGAGATACGATTTAAGGGTTTAGGGGTTTAGGTTTAAGGCTTAGGATCTAGGGGTGTAGGGAATAGGGCTTAGGGTTTAAGGTTTAGGGTTTAGGGGGCCTTCGTCCCTAGGGTTGAGGGTTTAGTCATTAGTGCTTCGGGATAGGGTTTTGGGCTACTATGACGTACTATACTTCCATAGGAACTGTGGGCAGATACTGCTACTCCTTTTTCCGACCCCGACATCGTTTCTCAGGGTGCCAATATACTCAAGTCCTTCTTTAGAGCCACGAGCCACTTCTTGGGTGTGGAAGGTTCAAGGAGGCTCCTTCCGGGGGTCGGGGCGTGCCTGAAAGGGTAAACCCATAAGGGTTCTTGGGGTTCTTTTAAGGGTTGTCGGGGTTCCTTTATGGGGGTATACCACAGTATAGCTGTGGGACTTTATCAGAGGTACTAACCATTCGGACCTCCATAGCAGCGCTACCTTCACAGATCCTGGCGGAGTCCGCAAAAATTGACTTGTGGCCGGACGAGCCAGCTGGTACACCTCATCGGGTCCAGGAATCAATGTTTATCATCATGTAAACATGTTGACTGGAACGGGATGCTTTAGTACATCTTTATCGGCACTTTAAGAGAACATCATACATTGGCACATGTTCGCACTATATGGGGATTGCACGGGGAGACATGTGAAGTATACGTTTACGGGAAATCTAAGCGGGCATTATAGTACATGTCTGTAACTTCTATTATGTGAAGCAGGAATCTTAGTCAGAAGGCCGTGGTTGGGATTTCCACATGGTGCCACGTCGGAACCCAGACCAAACATACTCGAACAGGGCTTTGAGGTAGATGATACTGATAAAACCACTGTAGTGGAACTGTGAAGGGATATACGAGTACTACAGAACTCTACCAGGCGCTTCTTGGATGTCCTATGATATACTGACCCTAAGGCTCCATGTACCCTTATAGTATATACTTAGGCCTCAAAGTACCTGTATAGGGACCCCTTTCAGGCTTAAGTATCTACTATAAAGGTACATGGAACCTTTGGGTGAATAACTGTTGAATGCTTGCCAGGGTACTATCAGCTTTACTCCGGCCGGCGGCGCCGGCGTTGCGCGGGTTCCTCGTCCACGGCGTCCGTGGGCTCGGCAACGGGCCCAGTTGCTTCTAGCATGTCATGTAGCCTTCCCCATCTGTATACATGCTAACCACAGAACCCCTTAAGGCTAGAACTTAAGCTCCTTCTGCTGATGCTGGAACAGATCCAAGTTCCAGGCCGCAAGCCCACAAGAAGAGATAAAAACTCAATTAAACCCGAGACCCCTAAACCCAAAACCCTAAACTGCATGCCGCGGTGCTTCGGGCTCTGAGGGCCGGCGGCGGCGATGCACGCGTTCCTCGTCCACGGCATGCGTGGGCTCGGGGTCGGGCCGACGGCGCCGGCGATCGGCGTCATGGTGCCTGCCCCCAAGGCTCCACGTAGCCACATAGTATATGCTTAGGCCTTAAAGGGGTTCCTATGTAGGTACTTGAAGGCCTAAGTGTATACTATATGACTACATGGGGCCTTAGGCTGCTTGCCGAGTCTGGAAAGCTAGGAGGTGCTTTGTCGGGGCTTTCTTTTTTTTGTGCAAGCGCTTCCCGCACGGTTCGGGGTGTTTCTCAGTTTAAGCCCTCTCGTGATCGACCTCACGCAAAATACCCTGAATTTCCGGGCTTTACCCTATGCCTCCAGGGACCTTATTATGGGGTCCTTAAGGGGTCTAGGGCCCTAACTATGAGGTCCTTGGAGGGATAAGGTTAAGGCTTACAAGCTCGAGAAGAGATCTGAAGACAACCCTGAGTCGTCATGCCCCAGAAACCCCTAGTCTGCTCCGCAACACCCTATGGGTCCATGTACTCATATAGTATATACATTGGCCTTAAAGCTATATGGGCACATGGACCCCTAGGGACACCTCCTTCGTAAGATAATCGTCTCGGACATCAGTGATGCTCAGAAACGTGCTAATAGTCTACGATCGAAGCACCAGTCTGGTTGTGAGACCTGAAAGGTAAAATCTATACGCAAAGGAGTAGACCTACCTGGGATCTGGAAGCAGAGAGTGGTCAATCAAAACCTTCAAATCGGAGTCTGGGGTTTTGAACTCACGGCCTCTAGAGGTTCAAACTTTCATAGGGTGTATATTACAAGAAGCGTTGACCCATAAGTCCCCTTGCCTTCGTGCAAGTACAGCCTTAATGAAAGCTGCTCATAATGACCATGTGGGAATGCAGTCGACTGCCGAGCTTAAGGTAGGGCTTGGTTAAACCCCTATAAACCCTACATGCATTTCCGAGTTCGGCATCAAGTGCTGGACAGCTGCGAATGCCGAGTCGTCGTCGTCGTAGTTGGCGCCTGCATGTTTCCGGACTTTACGGTTGAGCTTGGGCCACCTTCTGTGTTCGGTTTTTCGGGTTCTGTCTGTGCTTTCATGTACGTATGTGGCAGTGTCTGCGTGATTCAAGTTTTATGGGTATCATTGGCCAAAGTATTTACTATTTGGGTGCATGGACCCCCAGGGTTGGACTCAAGGCTACCGTAGGGGTTGAAGCATTGAGATGCCAAGGCACCAGCACATGCCGTGTCATGATAGGGTTTGGTCTCCAACGGATTTCACCCCCCACCTCCCCCTCACCCCTCCTCTGCCCTGCTGCCCTGCCCTGCCCTAAACCAATACCCTAAACCGTTTGAGTCGTTCGTGTGTATTTCTTTCGATTCTTGTTGTTTGCTCTCCACTTGACTTCCTTCGTTCCTTGGGGGATAAGTACATTGCGAACTTCTTGGGACAAACATCACATGCCGCCAATGCTTGCAACACCTACACATATTTGAGTCTCCGAATACAGCAGGGGATTTTCATATAGCACCCTTACTTGTTGCGGCCTGCCCCTCGGGCTGCGATACAAAGGCAGTTTCAAACCTGAACTCTTAACCCTACACCCTAACCTAAACCTAGGCCTGATAAAACCTCAAAGCCCGGACAACACATGGACCAGAAAGGACGAAATAAAAGCCTCAAGAACCCGAAGGCCGGGCCGAGGCGGACGACGCGAAGCGTTTAAATTATGTACTACAACAATAGAAATGGTGTAGGTAATTATTTCGGCCCCTGTAGTAGTCCTTTAACCTTAAACCCCCTCAGAGCTGAAGCTTCTTCTTTCGATGCTGCGACAAACCAGAAGCACCATTAGCCCAGGCAGCCCATAGACGTTGTTGGCAAGCCCAAAAGAAGAGCTCAAGCTCGATTCAAGTGAGCACTTGAAAACAGGAGCTTGGTTTGGTACAATCAATGCATGCCGGATCGGCAGGGGGCGTAGGCTCGGCATCGGGTCGACGGCGCCGGCGGTGCACTCGTTCCTCGTCCACGGCGTCATGGTGCCTGCTTTCTGATGCGAATTATCTAGGGTTTCCTGTCTTTGCTTCATGCAGTGTTTTGGTTTCGAGGTTTCTAGTTTTTGGACCTTTTGTGGTCGACCTTAAGCAAATGGCCCTGAAATTCTGGTCTTGAGGCTTACGAGGTCGATCACGGATCTGACTACCGAATCGCCGACATCGGGCAATGCAATATCAACCCTGAGTCGTCATGGCCAGAAATCCCTACCCAGTCGAAATCCTTAGCCATCGTTCGAGGCCACGATGCTTAACACCTCATTCGTAAGACGATCGTCTCGTACATCAGCGATGTTCAGAAATCAAAAACGTGCTAGTAGCCTGCGCTTAGCAGACTACGCCTAGAAGGCAAACTCTATACACTATAGATCAAGTCAAGGAGTGAACTTGTTTAGGCCCTTACCCTAAGGCTAAGGACCCACATATTGGGCCCAAAGATCATACTATAGAAGGATTTTGGGCCATCTTGAGCCTCAGGGTTATAGTACCTTGATCCGGAACCGGCGATCCGTCAAGCAAACTGTTTCTCTCCAACTGCGTCTCTTGAAATCGGGGTCTGCCTCTAAGCCCTAAACCCTAAAATCCTATAATAACCCTACACCCCGAAACCCTACACCCCAAAGTCCGTAACCCTTAATCCATAAACCCCTAAACCCTAAACCCTAAAATCCTATAACCCTAAACACCTAAACCCTTACACCCTGATGCCCGTCAAACTCTTTGGCTTATAGGCATGCAGTAGCCGTTGACACTGACACACTAGGCCCCATGCTTTCGCCAGAAAGTACACTGCGGTACTTTATGGTAGGGCTCGGAGAAAATATGTATTTGTGAGTTCGGCATCAATCGCTGGACAGCTGCGAACGACGAGCCGTCGTCGTCGTCGTCGTAGTCGGTGCCTGCAAGTTTCCGGATTTAACGGTTGAGCTTAGGCCGGAGTTTCCTTCGGGACAGGGTTTAAGGCAAGGGTCCATCACCAAAATAGTAGATAGACTTACGTAGGCCTTGCATCGTGCCTACACGGGAGCCCCGTGCAGCCCCTACGGTTGGTGGTATAAATCCTGCATTACCTTAATGGCCCTAGACTATGGGAATTATGGTATATTCCTTGTTCTGTGTAATTCAGGATTTATATCATCAGCCGTAGTATCTAGGCTTGGGCCACCTTGTGCATTCGGGTGTTTCGGCGTTCGTGGGTTCAGACACAAGGTCACCAGAAGGTTGAGATATGGGACCCTAGTATAGTACCCCAAATAGTAGGATCCTTATTAAGGGACCCGAAATAAGGTACCCCTTAATTTTCGGAAACTCCCATATTGAGATGCAAAAGTGCTGGCACATCTCATCCCAGAGCGATATGATTAGCTTCTAGCATCGATCCGCAAATCCTTAGGCCTTAAGCCCCTGAGATCTTAAGCTCGCTTCGCACAGCAGAAGCGAACATGAGCCTCATGTGACATACACACACACACACATGCGCTTGAAAACATGAGCTTCGCTACAATCAATCAAAGGCATGCCGGGCGAAGCGCATGTTCCTCGTCAGTGGGCTCGGCATCGGGTCGACGGCGCCGGCGCTGCACGCGGTCCTCGTCCACGGCGTCATGGTGCCTGATTTCTGATTCTAAGGTTTGGTTGCTGCAAAATTGGCTTCATACAGCGTGTTCTTCTCCATGCTTTCGCGGTGGTTATCTTCAGAAAGCGAAACCCTGAAATTCAGAGCTTGAGGCTTTCCAGGTCGATCACAGATCTGAATACCGAATCGCCGACATCAGGCAATTCAACCTGTAAACTAAATCGTCATGCCCAGAAACCCCAACCCAGCTGAATCTTACTTTGCCTTCGTTCGAGGCCATGATTCGGAGCACCTCCGCTTCATACATCCTGGCCTCCTACATGGGCGATGTTTGAAATCATCTTAGGTAAGGCACGCGAAGCTGAAGATTGGGCCTGCGCACCCACCAGCCACTCCTTAAAGCCTCGCGTGTTTGCCACCGAGCAACTTCCTCCCATGCTTTCGCTTTTCCAGCTCCTGTCCGGATCCCGCGCTTCTGCTGCTTGGGCTCATCGTCTTCGGCTGTGGGGCATGCGGTGAATATGTGTCGGAGCCTTAAGGTTGAGGTCTTTCAGAATCGCGCCCCAGGAGATTTCGTTACATGATCCGGAAGGCTCTAGTAACTCTAGTGACATCAAACATCACCATCAAACGTGGATGGATGCCTCACCCATCTTGGGATAGTAGGTCAGAATGCCAGGCCTAGGATGGATTGCGACTATGAGTTGTTTGAGCTGTTATACCTGTTGTTTTGGGTATGAACCGGATATACCAGGTCACCAGCATAATATGGGTGTCTTGATGACTAGAACCACTCTGCCAATGATTTGAAAGCACAAAATTGGAATCTATTTAGGCCCGCCATGGCTTCTTCCCGCTGGTGCAGAGCCTCGGGTTGGCTTGCATACCATGACTCAGTTGTGATTGATTTCTTTGCTGCTTTGGGCAGAAATCGAATGCACCCCCATCACATGCTATCCATCCCAAACAAATAAGGACCCGGATCAAGACAGGAACATCCATCCGCGGCCTCCTTTGCAGCCGCCACGGCTTCTTCGAGACGTTGCTGCGCCTCCGCATTGGCTTGCATACCATGACTCGGTTGTAACTGATTTCTTTGCTGCTTTGGGCAGAAACCGGACGTATCCCAACACATGCTATCCTTCACAGGCAAATAAGGCCCCGGATCAAGACAGCAACATCCATCCGCGGCCTCCTTTGCAGCCGCCGCGGCTTCTTCGCGCTGTCGCTGGGCCTCCGGGTGGCGTGCACAACACGACTCGGCTGGGACCGATTCAAATGAAATCTTGGGTAAAGAGCAGTCAATTTCGGACCTGATGCATCCCACAACATGCTATCCTTCAAAAAGAAAGGCCCGGCATCAAGACAAGAACCTCAAAACCGTGGCCTCCTTGGTAGCCGCCACCTCTTGTTCGTGCTGTCTCTGGGCCTCGGGGTGGCTTGGGTGCCATGACCGTGCTTTGACCGATTTCCTTGCTGTGTGGGGTACCTATGGTCGGGGTGAGCCCTATCGCTCACATATACCCTTCGAATACACAGGACGAGACAAGAACCCCAAATTCCGTGGCCTCCTTCGCAGCCGCCACCCATGATTCGTGCGCGACCTGGTCCTCAGGGGTACCACGACTCTGCTTTGACCGATCTCTCTGCTGTTATTGGTACTTATGATCGGGATGCATCCAATCATTCACATGATATGCTTCCAATACAAAGGCCCCGAATCGTGACAAGAACCCCGAAACGTGGCCTGCTTTACAATGGCCAGCAAGTTCTCGTGCTGGCGCTGGGCCTCAGGGTGTCTTGGGTGCCATGACTGTGGTTTAACCGATTTCTTTGCTGTGTGGGGTACTTATGGTCGGGATGCGCCCCATCACTCGCACGCTAGCCTTCAAACGCACACTGCCTGCGTTCGTTTCTGTTTTGAGTCCCATATAGAGGCCTCGGATCAAGAAGCGAAATCAACAATCCGTGGCCTCCTTTGCAGCCGCCACAAATTGTTCTTGCTGGCGCTTGGCCTCAAGGTGGCTTGCGTACTATGACGCGGTTGGGACCGATTTCTGTGCTGTTTTGGGCAGGTTATGGCAACTAATGAACCGGAAGTACTATAGGGGCCTTAATGATTAGAATAGAGTCTTTGGGCCCAGTATGCTATGATTATATGGGAAGCTCCAATCTAGTATAGGCATTTCTTACGGCCCCTATATTACCCCATCACAGTTCATTTTTGCACATGCAGAGGCACGGGGACAAGACCAGAACCCCAAGTAGCCTCGTTTGCAGCTGCCACAGCTTCTTCGCGCTGTCGCTGGGCCTCCGGGTGGCGTGCATAACACGACTCGGTTGGGACCGATTCAAATGAAATCTTGGGTAAAGAGCAGTCAATTTCGGACCTGATGCATCCCACAACATGCTATCCTTCAAAAAGAAAGGCCCGGCATCAAGACAAGAACCTCAAAACCGTGGCCTCCTTGGTAGCCGCCACCTCTTGTTCGTGCTGGCTCTGGGCCTCGGGGTGGCTTGGGTGCCATGACCGTGCTTGGACCGATTTCCTTGCTGCGTGGGGTACCTATGGTCGGGGTGAGCCCTATCGCTCACATATACCCTTCGAATACACAGGACGAGACAAGAACCCCAAATTCCGTGGCCTCCTTCGCAGCCGCCGCCCATGATTCGTGCGCGACCTGGTCCTCAGGGGTACCACGACTCTGCTTTGACCATTTCTTTGCTGCTTTTGGTACTTATGATCGGGATGCATCCCATCATTCACATGATATGCTTCCAATACAAAGGCCCCGAATCATGACAAGAACCCCAAACCGTGGCCTGCTTTAGAGTCGCCTGCCATTGTTCGTGCTGGCGCTGGGCCTCAGGGTGTCTTGGGTGCCATGACTGTCCTTTAACCGATTGCTTTGTTATCTTGGGTGGTCATGATCACGATGCACTCTATCGCTCCATGCTATGTTCCAAACGCAAGGGTCCCGGAGAAAAACAAGAACCCCAAATCTGTGGCCTCCTTCGCAGCCGCCCTGGCCTTGTTTGTAGCCGCCACCCATTGTTCGTGCTGGCGCTGGGCCTTCGGGTGGCTTTGTGTACCACGACTCTTTTTCGACTGATATCGTTGCTGTTTTGAGTATTCATGACACGGATGTACCCCATTACTTGCCATCCTTCCCACATAGAGGCCTCGGACCAGGAAACAAATTCCACATCCGTGGCCTCGTTTGCAGCCGCCACACTATGACGCGTTTGTCACCACTTCTTTGCTGTCTTGAGTCAACTAAGGGTAGATAATGAAACGGTTGTACTCCATCGCAGTTCATGCTTCACCCTAAACACTAAACCGTGGCTATGCAGAGGACCGCGATCAAGACAAGAACTTGAAATCCGTGGCCTCCGCAGCAGCCGCCACTGCTTCGTCGCGCTGGCGCCGGGCCTTAGTGTGGCTTGCATACTTGGAGGATCATGGGTCTTAGTAACTGGGTTTTTTTTGATAGGGTAACTACACTTATAATTACTTATAACCCAAATTAAGGCACTTATAACCATACTTACTAAGTCCCATGATCCTCCTTTAAGTACCATGACTCGATTGTGAGCGCTTGGAGGTTCATGGGTAGTTGGAAGTGGGGTTATAAGTCCCCTAATATGGGTTCTAACTGTAGTTATCCTAAACATAACCCTATATACTTGGTTACTTATAACTACCCATGAACCTTCAAGTCTGACCGATAATTTCTTTGCCGTCTTGGGTATTTAGTGATGAGCCGGTTGCATTGCACTCCATCACTCGCATGCTCTTCTTCAACAACGAGTCGCATAGTATGGCATAGTTCTTTTTGAAAACTTATTTCAAAAAACCTACAAAAGCCTATGTTGCATTTTGAAACCTATTTCAAAAACATACAAAAGCCTATGTTACGTTGCATTTTTGAAACCTATTTCAAAAACATACAAAAGCCTGAGTTGCAAGACAAGAACCCCCAAAAAACCGTGGCCTCCTTAGCAGCCGCCACGTCTTGATCGCGCTGGTGTTGGGCCTTGATTGCATAGCCCCCACGGTTTCTGAAAGGGGAAAAGGAGGGACCCTTAATGGGGACCCCTACCCTATAATGGGCTATATAATGGGTATATAATAGCTATATGAAGGGTATATACCTGGGGGTCCTTATTAAGGGTCCCTCTTTTTACCCTTGCAGTTTAGGATTTACAGGGCTTAGGGTTCCCCAAGGGTCCAAAGCACCCGATAATTAGGTACTCGGTTTTAGGATAGGAGTTATGTACGTTAGGATTTTGGAGAGTGCATGATTATTAGGTAGTTGGGCCCTTGGAGGTTTGGGGTTTAGGGATTTACGGGTTTAGGGGTTCAGGGCTCAGTGTTTTGGGGTTTAAGGGTTGAGGATCTGTTTTGACAGATTTCTTCGCTGTCCTGGCTATGAACCGGATGTAGACCAATCGCATGCTGAGCTCCAACAACAGATGGTACAGGCTGTCGACCCTGAACCCCAAACCCTACAAGCACTACATACCCTAAGCCGTGGCTGCCGACAAGAACGTCCTTTAAGGTACCCCCCCCCCCCCCCCCCCTAACAAAAAAAGGGGCCTAGAGTGGAGACTTATAGGTACCCCGGAACCGGAGCGCCCTTAAGAATGCGAATATGGTTTTGTCCCTTGTGCAATTCTCTAAATTAAGCTCCATTTCGGGGTCGTTTCCTTGAGGCAGCCGTCCTTTTAGGGGCCCGGGGCCTAAAAGCTGACCCCTCATTTAGAGAACTACCCATATTCATAATAAGGAACCCCAAAATAATGTCTAGGATGCCCAGTAACCTAGGAATAAAAATGCCTCTCTTTTTTGGTATTGGGTAACTTTATAAGGAACCTAGGACTACAAAAAGGGAATAAGGGTACTACTGGGCATCCTAGTAATAAGGAGCCCCAAAATAATGTTGGTAACTATTTAGGCTCCTGTCGCCATACCCCGGATGAAGGTCCAGGCCCTAATCCCAAGCCGGGCCCAACCCCCACTTCAAAAGTCGGGGGACTTAGTAAGTAGTTATTATATGGACTTATAAGTACCGTAAGAGGGAACCTAATTGGGGTTATGGTACGTATAACTCTATAAACTAAACCCATTTAATTTAAGCCATATTCCTTAGTTCCCTTTTGGAACTCTATACCTCCAAGTGCGCTCTCTGGGAAGCCTAGCAACCCCTGGGATATCCCATATAAACCCCCTTTTTTGAAGCCCAATAAGGTAGGGATATCCCCATAAAATGCTGATGCTTATGTGCTGTTTGGGTCCCTAAAGTGGGCTCTCTGGGAAGCCTATAGCAACCCCTGGCCTGCTTCGCAGCGGCCTCGGCTTCGGCGCGCTCGCGCTGCGCTTTCCTGGGCTCTGATTACCGAAAGGCTCCATGTACCTTTATAGTAGATACATAAGCCTTAAAGAGGTCCCTATATAGGCACTTTAGGGCCTAATTACTTACTATATGGGTACATGGAGCCTTAGGATCAAGGAACTTTGGTTGAGTTACCACAATAGTTCGGGTGCAGGGTTTAGGGTTGGTTCAAGTTACCACAATAGGGGTCTTACCTTGCATAGTATGGTTTCCACATTGGTAGACTTGAAGTATATAAACTCAGTCTAAATCATCATGATAAAGGAAACCTTCTTGTTTACTACAGATCTCTACAATATAGAGATATGGGAGTTTCCGAAAATTAGGGGTACCTTATTTGGCGGTCCTTAGAATAAGGATCCTACTATTTAGGGTACTACATTAGGGTCCCCTATTTTCGGAAACTCCCATATGGCAATGTGAACTGACCAAATCCTAAAGCTTCAGTTACCAAGTGGGATGCTAACCATAGATTATGTAACTCAGTAGGTAACTGGAATCCTGGGGAAAGTTCCTTACCAAGAGCCGAGTTTCTCCAACTGCTCCGCGGCTCGCTCCTGCCTCAAATTCTGCCGCCTCGGTTTAGGGTTTGGGTTTTTTTGGGGTGTCTTCCAGGACGCATCTGGTCCGTACTGGTAGGTATTGAAGGTCTCATCGACGGTAGAAGGAGGGTCTAGGAACACGGAATCAAACTCCCGGACGAACGCAGCAAAAAAGAGTCTGAACCTTCTAGGCGAACACTTGGGGCCCCACTTGCATATTGCATCTAGCACCTCTCCCGAAACCCAAATCGAAAACCCATAATATTGGCGCCTTCGCAAATAGAGTAGGCTTTCGGGATACATCATCGCGTATTTGCATATTGCGGAACCCTCAGCAAATTCTTGTGGTAATTATCAAACAAGCTTCTATGTTAAGATTCACGACATATATCTTGTGGTGTGTGCTGAATCCTTCAGAGCACCGGGAAGACTCGCCCCCTCGCTTCAGGTCATAAGAATGAAACATGAGAAATTAGGACACTATAGGGGGCCTCACTAACTGCAAATATTCCTAGGGAATGAATATACGCAGTATTCCTTGGGTTTCCTGTTAGTACAGGTCTCGGACAATACGCCCCCAAAACCCTAGTCTAACCAGTGGTTTTGGGGTTTCCTTAGCTCTTTAGCTCTTTACTTAATAGGGATGAAGAACTTCGGAATAATTGTGGGTGCTGCTGTTGTGAAACAGCCTCCCAGTGCCAGAAGCACCACAAGGGCGAAAACATCAAAAAGAGAACCCAATTGAGTTCACGCATTGGGGCTACAACGCCTGTGGAAGTAGCACGAACAAAGAACGAACGGCGCTACAACGCATGTGGAAGTAGCAGAAACAAAGGTATAGTAGTGTGCTCGGGTGCCGCCAGCTGCTCTCGCAGCAGCAATAGGGATGATCATCATCCCTGGCTCCTCAGCTCCTCCAATATCAAACCCCAAGGGTCCAAAGGACCCAAAAATTAGGTATTCGGTTTTAGGATAGTAGTTATGGAGCTTAGGATTTCGGAGAGTATATGATTATTAGGTACTTGGACCCTTGGGGAAAGGTTAGTAGTTCAATTTAGTCCGAGCGAAAGGCGTGGAACCGTAACCCTGCACCAGGCCCGATCGAGTCCCGGCCTTGAAGTGCCTTTTGTAGGTAGAGCTTGAAATAGCAAATAACAGTAGCAACAATAGTAGCAGTCATAACAATACTGCCAAGAACAACAAGACTACTAGTACTAGCACCAGATATACTAACTAATGAAACTCAGCATACTAAGTTAATTCAATGAACCTAATAGAGCATTGTGCGCTGAAAGGACGCAGAGGTTTCTACTTTAACTGCCCTGGAAGACAAGCCACAGCACAACAACACACACACACATACACACTCACACATCCAGGAGGTGCAGATGTCTGCCGAACTATCAGCATCAATATATCAGACTTGGTCAAGCGAGTGGCCAATACACCGTGGTCGTCGTCGTGGTCTTGATCTCTTCGTGCCCCGGGATATATATGGGACGACCGCCAGGAGGTGGATGGGGAGCTAGGTTGATCTCCTCGCGAAACAAAATCAACCCCGGACAAACTCAGCAAGTAATTATCACCCCACGACGAGAGAATGTTCTTATCCCCCCGACTAAACCCCAATGTTCATTTCAAAATCTGATAGTGGGACCTAGCTTCTTAGAGCTTCGAAACGAGTAGCTTCTCTGCTTCTTGCCATCCGAATGCAACATGTTTTGAGAAAACCCTAAACCCTAAACCCTAAACCCTGAAGTGTGCGGTTTGGGACTCTGCCCCCACAAACCCTAACCCGGAGTATGCGACAACATCACAAACATGTAGGAGTTGGAGATGTTTATGACTGAACTTCAGTAGCGCTAAACTCTAAACCCTAAAACCCCAAACCCTTCAAACCTTAAAACCCAAACCCCTAACCGACAAATCCTATAAACCCTCCGACGAATCCTACTGAACTTAGACCCCTAGCAAGAATTGTAGTCTTGGCTGTTTCTTAGGGAGGAAAGGAACCAGAAGTAAAACAACTGAAAAAGAAACCCGAAGAACCGAAACCTTAAACTCTAAACGCCCCAAACCCTAAACCCCAAACCCCTAAACCCTACACCCTAATCCTTTTCGGGCCCCGAAGTTGAAGCTCATTATACTACAGTTATAATAAGGAAGCCCCCAAACCTGTCTAGGTAATTATTAACGCCCCTCTAGTAAACCCGAAGCCCTCCTATCAGTCTTGTTGAAGTTCGAAACCCAATCATAATAGTAATTCCTAGTATAGAAACCCTACATTCTACTATACAGGTACTTTGGACCCTCTGGGTATCAATCTTCTTGAAGCTCGAGACGATGTTGGGGTCCTTTTATGAGCCCTAAACCCTGAATTAAGGAATATACCTTAAATCATAGTAGGATCCCTAATATGATTTAAGGTATATTCCTTAATTGAGGGGTTTTGGAAGGTCTGGGTTTATGAACCCTAAACCCCAAACCTTAAACCGTAAGTTGAAGCTCGAGGAGGTAATGGCGGTCGTCTCCTTAGAAACCTATAGATCCCCTTAAAGGAAAGCCTATATAGCTCCCGTTAAAGGGACCCCGCACCTTCTTCAAGCTCAAACCCCAAACCCTAACCCCTAAACCATAACCCCCGAACCCGAACCCCTAAACCCGAAAACCCTGGTGCTTAAACCCTAACCCCTAAACCCTCCTATCTTCTTGAAGCTCGAGACGGTAGGGTGGTCGTCTCCTTCTTGTTCAAGCAGGTCGGGGTCGCCACGCTGGCATGTCGCTCGGCGGGAGACCACTTGACCATCCCCACCTAGGGTTTTCGGAGTTTAGGGTTTTAGGGATTCTGGGATTTTTGGGAATTTTAAGGTTTTGGATCATCTCCAACCTGGGTTTTCGGGTTTAATGTAGGAACCTGATCAAGAAACCCAGCGTCTTTATGCGGGTTCTTTATGTGAGTCCTATTATAATGGGGTTATAGGGCCAGGGGTTCTTAATCAGGTTCCTACATTAGGGTTGTAGGGCTTGGGGTTTTGGGGCCTAGGGTTTAGGCCTGGGTTTCGGGGGTTGATTACTCGGGTTTAAGTGGCTAGGGTTCCATCTGGGAGTTTCCGAAGATAGAGGTACCTTATTCTGGGGGACCTTATAGAAAGGGATCCTACTATTTAGGGTACTGTACTAGGGTCCCCTATTTTCGGAAACTCCCATATTTCCCAGTTCCACATGTCAACTCACCTACAGAATCATCCGGTTTTCTCGAGTCTGAAGGTTTAGACCATCATAGGGCCCAAGAAAAGCACATAAGCAAAAATAAGGATAGGGATATCCCATATAAATCCCCTTATACTGAAGCCCAATAAGGTAGGGATATCCCCATAAAATGCTTATGCTTATGTGCTTTTGGGGGTCCCTACATCAATTCGCCTTTGTTGGCGGAGCGAAGCGGACGAATGCTCTTCTTTCGTCAGCGGGTTTTCTAAACTTTAGGCCACTTGCAGGTGGCTTAGGGTTTAGGGTTTAGGGTGGCTTCGCAGATTATGGGGGCTCCTTACATTGTAGGAGCCAAAGTATAAGACGGGTTAAGCCAACAAGCTGAACTATGATGGAGACTATAGCTAACTGGGCAGTTCTCTAAATTAGGATCCTGGTTTGGGCTCCAGATGCTGTACTATTTAGGGAGACCCTAAAGGGGATCAACTTCGAGAACTACCCAAAGTTATCATGCACTATGTGTAGCCCCGGTCGCAGGTTTGCTGTGCCAGAGCCTCGATAAAACAAAACTTTGATCGATAGGTTGGCTGTGGATCCCGTATGCTAGCATACTAGCATATTAGACCTACTAGCGTGCCCACTATTACTGATGGTGTAGGGTTTGGGACCGCAAACATGGTTGCCATGATGTGTCCGGTTTGAGCTCAGCGTTTGATCTCTCGGTGCACATGTCAGGTTTCAAAGCATAAAGCTATAAGTACCTTAATTGGGGTTATAAGTAGTTATAAGTATGGTTACCTTAATTATAACCCTAGTTACTGAGTCCCAAGATCTAAAGCCAGCTCACTGCAACCGAGAAGCCGCTTGAGTATCGACTGGAGTATGACGATATACCAGCTCCTTTCATAGCCGAGTGGGGTTTAGGGTTTAGGGTTTAGGGCTTTGGAGTTGAAGCCTGTCGGCGACGTTGACAACTCATCTGAAAGTCAAGTCATTGGCCGTCACTGCTCATACGCCACGAAAACCGAGAATCTGGTTTTTTCTTGGGTCTTGAACGCGTGAACGAACAAAACCCCAAAATCACAATGGTAGCCCTAACAAAAGTGGTACGATACTGTGGTCATAGCAGGAACCCTAGCAAGTATCGTGCGAATTAGCTCTTCAAGCGTATATGACTATGATACACAGAGGCTTCAGGTCGTGGCCCGGGGGCAGTCTCCCTTGTGTTTGCGGTCTTGTCACTTTGCGGGTTCAGGGTTTAGGGCTCAGGGCTTTAGTTTCAAGGTTTAGGGTTCACGGTTTAGGATCCTGCATACACGAGTCTAGCCTCCCCTGAATCAAACAGCGAATAGTCTACGACGGCCTCTGCTTAAGTTCCAAGTTAACTGCACTAGCCTTTTGAGAGCCCAAGAGAAACCACATCCTGCAGTTCGGGTCTTAGGACCTGGGTTTATAATAGAAGAATGTTGAAAAATCGTCATCCTGAGATCCTCAAAGTAAAGTATAGGGAATGCCAGCATGAATCATCCTACATCAATGTTCCAACTTTCTGAGTTTCACTATCGGATTGCAGGACCTAAGACCCTTAACTCAAGAGAAACGCGAGGTGTTGCATGTGACCGAAGGATTGCCGGGCGATGAGTTTTGGAATCCCTGTAGGCTCATACCCTACCCCTTCTTTCGGGCATCTGCTTTCTATGCAACAGATCCCAACCACAACGCTACGTATCCTCAAAAAGGGGTAGGGTATGAGCCTCTAGGTGTATATAGCCTGGAAACAATCCCTAACCATAAATGGGAGTTTCCGACAATAGGGGACCCTACTATACTACCCTAACTAGTAGGATCCTTCTGAGAAGGTCCTCAAAATAAGGTAACCCCAATTTTCGGAAACTCTAAACCCTAAACCCTTTATAGAACCCTTCTATGGAACCCTAAAAAAAAGCTAGGTTCTGTAGGGTCCTCTTTATAGAACCCTTATGGAACCCTAAAAGAAAGGTAGGTCCAGGTTAATGGAAGCAAAGCTGCGGACACTTTGGTGCGGATTTGTCGAAGACTGGGCCGCTTCTTCCAATCCTTATGCCTTGGTCCGTGGGTTTAGGGTCTAAGGGCTTTGGGTTTAGGGTTTAAGGGTTTAGGGTTTAGGGTTTAGGCTTTAAGTGTTTAAGGGTTTTGGGTTTAAGGGTTTTAGGGTTTTAAGGGTTTTGGGTTTAGGGTTTAAAGGTTTAGGGTTTAGGCTTTCAGTGTTTAAGGGTTTTGGGTTTAAGGGTTTAGGGTTTAAGGGTTTTGGGTTTAGGGTTTGGGGTTTAAGGGTTTTGGGTTTAGGGTTTAGGGTTTTGTTTTGTTGGGTTTTTTTTTGAGGGCTCTAGAGGTCTGAAACTGAGGGTTGTATCAGAGTTTAGGGCGTAGGGCCCGCACATCAGAACTAAGGGTTTCAAAAGTTTAGGCTCAGGATTCATGGAGTTTGAGCAGTCGGCGGGGCGCTTGGGCATTCGTGCTCCAGAGCTCTTGGACCATAATGAAAACGATGTCTTTGAAAACCACTTGCTGTTGAAGTACTGCTTCGAAACAAACCAAAATGTTTCGCAAGCGCACTATCGTTTGGGGCGTGGGATTGGAGTGCAGAGCCCAGACCTTCCAAAATCCCTTAATTAAGTAATATACCTTAAATCATATTAGGGACCCTACTATAATTCAAGGTATATTCCTTAATTAAGCGGTTTTGGAAGGTCTGGGAGGTTTAGGGCTTCCGGACCGAGGGCTCGAAGGCTCGCCATGGGAGTTTCCGAAAACAGGGGACCCTAATATAGTACCCTAAATAGTAGGATCCTTATTATAAGGACCCCAACAAAGGTACCCCCTATTTTCGGAAACCCCCACATGAGTACAGTAATAGTACTGTAGCAGTGCGGTAGCAGTGCGGTAGTAATACAACAGTAGCGAGCACAGCAGCAGCACAATAGAAGTGCAGCAGTAGGCAGTAAGGGTAGGGTAGAGGAGTAGTAGCAGCAGTAGTAATATTAGTAGCAGTAGTAGTATTAGTAGTAGCAGTTCTTGTGGCGATGGTGGCGATAGTAGTGGTGGTGGTGGTGGTGGTGGTGGTACTGGTAGTGTTCTTGGTCGTGGTCGTGATAGTGGCAGCGGTAGTGGTAGTGCTGGTAGTAGTAATACTAATCGTATCTAATAGTCGTAATAGTTGTAATAGAAAGTAGTAGTAGTAGTAGTAGTAGTAGTAGTAGTAGTAGTAGTAGTAGTAGTAGTAGTAGTAGTAGTAGTAGTAGTAGTAGTAGTAGTAGTAGTAGTAGTGATAGTAGTAGTAGTGGTAGTAGTAGTGGCAGCAGTAGTAGTAGTAGCAGTAGTAGTAGTAGTAGTCGTAGTAGTAGTAGTAGTAGTAGTAGTAGTAGTAGTAGTAGTAGTAGTAGTAGTAGTAGTAGTAGTAGTAGTAGTAGTAGTAGTAGTAGTAGTAGTAGTAGTAGTAGTAGTAGTAGTAGTAGTAGTAGTAGTAGTAGTAGTAGTAGTAGTAGTAGTAGTAGTAGTAGTAGTAGTAGTAGTAGTAGTAGTAGTAGTAGTAGTAGTAGTAGTAGTAGTAGTAGTAGTAGTAGTAGTAGTATTCGTCGTACAGTAGTCGTACAGTAGTCGTACAGTAGTAGAACAGCTCTGATACTGTAATCGACGAAGCCGGAGGCCTGCTAAAACAAGATGTTTTTCCCGACCTCTTGGTACTATTCAACCAAGATTGACCATGAGTCGAAAGGATTGCGGCATTAAGAGGACTGCACAACAAATGCAAAATCCTGAAGAACAAGCGCATATTAGACGGTCGCGTAGTTAAAGCCTGTGCCACGTTAAGCTAAAGAAGCCCTCCATCTGGAAACCTTATTCATCCTAAACCACTACAGCAATGTATCGCAAGGACTGCTTTACACCTTAGAGACTAGAAAACAACAACCTACACAAGAACAAGAAGTGCCCTACCCACACTTATTCACTAGCCACGCCCAAATCCCAAATCTCAAAGCCGTGGAGCCATAGAACGCCAACGCCTTAGAGACTCGGAAACCTTAGGTTGAACCCAACGCCACCCCCGACATCACGGCGGGCAGCAGCATTTCTCTGACCAAGCTGTCGACATTCCTTGGGGTTCGCAAACAGTGGAGACCGAACTGCGGTCACCGGTTTAGAGGCCATTTGCTTCGTGGGCTCGGGGCCTATAGGGTTCAGGACTGTATATACTTGCTGTGCTTCTGTTCTCGGTGCATTGAAGTTCACAGCGCAGGAGTACAAAGCCTGCGATATGGCAGTTTTTCAGCAAAAGCTCAACTGAAGCTTAGCACCTTTCTTCACCAAAAAAACTACCTGAACCCTGAACATATCGCTAAGGGTCCATCTGCCCATATTTGTAATCATATATACTTTGACCTCAAAGGGTTTCTTCATAAAGGTACTTTAAGGTGGAGACGCCCAATGCTTGCCAGACCTGCCGAGACTCTGCGTACGTGGGACGTTCGCGTCCTTCTCGACGTCGTAGTCGAGAATCTGGAGACGTTAGACTTTCTCGTCCACTTAGTTGCTGAGTTCATAAGCCCCCAAAAGTGCACATTTTCAGTTTTATAGTGTGTAAAATTATTTCAAAAAGTGTAAAGTGGAAAGTGTATCCACTCAGCTACTAAGTCCAGTTTCCAAGGATATGCTTCATCTTTGGGATACATGCCCTAAACCCTAAACCCAAAACCCTAAACCCTAAACCCTAAGCGACAGAATAGGCTTCAGGTCATCATCCCCGGAGCCTCTACAGCCTCAAGGTGCAACTTCACAGGCCTTACACAGACCTTCCAAAACCCCTTAATTAAGGAATATACTTTAAATTATAATAGAGTCCCTAATACGATTTAAGGTATATTCCTTACTTAAAGGACACACACACACACACGAAGGAACTAAATCCGAAGCCTGAAGCTCAGAATCCTGTACCGTTCAATAAGCGGGGGGTTAGGGTATAGGGTTTAGGGTAGGGTTTCAATAGCATCGAGCTCTTATTGCCTAATGCCACTAAACCCTAAACCCCAAACTTTAAACCCGAAACAATAGAAACCTGAACCCTAAAATCTGAACCCTACACCACAGTGACCCAGCTGGTACCAGACCCGTCGAACTATGTCCAGAAGAGCCCTTCTTGGAGGATCATGGGACTTGGCAACTAAAGTTCCGTAAAGGGGTCCTTAAGGGGATCTGTAAGGGTTCTATAGGAGCCTAGCGTTTTCAGGATATAAATGGGACTTAGTATAAACAAAGTCACCACAGTTAAAGCTACTTAAACCCCAGCTAAGGTACTTATAACCATACTTATTAAATCCCAACATGCTGTGAATAAGCTGTATAAACCCTACCTTAACACCAGATAACCTACCGCTTTAAAAAATCACAATAGGGAACCCTAAAAAGTCAGGTTTTATACATTAGAAGCCCCAAAGATGGAAACCCAATAACCTCAATCCTGGAAAGATGCTGGGATTCCCAACAATATTTGACCTTAATCCGGTTTCCAAATTTTTGGGGTGTACTATAGGGCCCAGGTAATCCTTCCATACCCTTTGAGCACAAACCCGATCAAACCCCCCTCAGCCCTGTTAATTAAGGTGCCGGTCTTTAGAAGATGCAATCCCTGACCGCCAAGAGCAAAAACCCAAGCGAGGTGTCCAGCAGCTTAGAGGCCGGCTCCATAACGGGGTTCCGGGAAATGTCGCAAACTGTCGCAAACCCCAAAGCCCCAAACCCTAAACCCCACAGCGTCCAAAAAGTCAACAGAGCAACGGCGGCGGCCTGCTGTTCTATCGTCTTGCTTGATCGGTAGAACCATGGGGGATAGTGGATGTACAGGAGCTCGTACCTCGGGCGGTTTAGGGGTACCTACGGTTGATGATATAAATCCTGCATTACCTTTAATGGCCCTAGACTCTGGGAATTATGGTATGTTCCTTATTATGGGTAGTGCAGGATGTATATCATCAACCGTAGGGTCTGGATCGCTGCTGTGAATACTGCTTTAGTACTGGGGATCACAGCCAGCGTTCCGATGGCTCTCCACTTAGGGTCTAGGGTAGAATGGAAACATTTGGAGCAGGAAGTGAAGCCCTAAACCCAAATCCCTAAACCCTAAACCCTGAACCCTGAACCCTAAACCCTAAACCCCTAAACCCCTAAACCCTAAACCCTAACCCCAAATCGAGAGCCCCAAACCCATCAGGGTCCAAGGTGGTCAAAAGGTAGCGACATGTAGGGGTTGGGCTTACTGCAACGATAAAGGTTAAGCGGTTGCCATAAGGCCGGGGTGAGTTTTCCCAGTCCCGATTTCAGATGCTGGAAATCCAATACTCTGCAGTAGCTTCGCAGCTTCCTTCGAAGACTTGTAGCCTGGAACGTACCATATTCTGTAACAGTGTCCGTGTTCCTAAGGGTCCGCGTACCCAAATAGTATATACTTTGGGCCCAATGGGAGTGCTTTAAAGCCCAGAGTAATGTGGGTGTCGGTTTAATAGTGGGGTACCCCCCCCCCCCCTCCGACCAAAAAAAATTCACTTTAGTATGGCGCCGGTGACGTCGGACAGGGTCAGGGGTCCGAGTGGCAGGGAATTGGGAGGTGCCGGGGTTTGGGGGGTTGGCTTGGGTGCAGGGTCTGCGGTTCTGCGCGAATGCGCGGTCGGGGGTTGGGGGGGTCTGGGGATCACCAAATGCTGGAAACCAAGCCCCGATCACTCCAAGACTACTACCAAGACTAAAAACCCTTCATTTTGAACACTTTTGCCTCCGTAACCTACACTCACACACTCCCACCCACAATCGACCACGTCTGAAGCTTGGTGCGGTACAATAATAGTACAGTAGTACAATAGTAGTACAGTAGAAATAATACAGTAATAGTACAATAGCAGTACAATAATAGTGCAGTAGTACAATAGTAATACAACAGTAGTACAGTGGTAGTACAATAGTAGTACAGTAGTAGTACAATAATAGTACAGTAGTACAATAGTAGCACAATAGTAGTACAGTAGTAGTACAGTAGTAGTACGATAATAGTACCGTAATACAATAGTAGTACAGTAGTAGTACAGTAGTAGTACAATAATAGTGCAGTACTACAATAGTAACACAACAGTAGTACAGTGGTAGTACAATAGTAGTACAGTAGTAGTACAGTAATAGTACAGTAGAACAATAGTAGCACAATAGTAGTACAGTAGTAGCACAGTAGTAGTAATATTATAGTACCGTAGTACAATAGTAGTACAGTGTAGTACACTAGTAGTGCAGTAGTACAATAGCACAGTGGTAGTACAATAGTAGTACAGTAGTAATACGATAGTAGTACAGTAGTACAATAGTAGTACAGTAATAGTACAGTGGTAGTACAATAGTAGTACAACAGTAGTACAGTAGTAATACAGTAATAGTACAGAAATAATACCAATAAGCAAAGCATAAAGCCAGTGAGCACATTCCCCCAATAAGCAAAGCATAAAGCCAGCGCTTGAAACTCTAAACCCTAAACACTGAACCCTAAACCCTAAACCCTAACAAACCCTAAACCCTAACGAATCCTAAACTCCTAAACCCTAACAAACCCTAAATCCTAAGCCCTAAACCCTTCCCAAAGGGGGGTCGGTCCAGATTGGACCCAAAATTGATTTTTTATACAAACTTTAGTACTGGAGAGGCCTCTTTTGAGCTAGGGTCCAATCCCCGATTCGGCGGTTCACCCTAGCAGCCCCCCCCCAATAAGCAAGGCATACAGTAGCAGTACAATAGTACAATAGTAGTACAGTAGTAGTACAGAGTCCCTTCCTGACGCCCCAATAAGCGAAACAATTCTGCAAGAGATTTTCGGGCTTCAGGGCCAGGGTTTTAGGGTTGGGTGGGGGTTTGGGTGGGGGTTTAGGTCGTGGCTGCCTTAAGATTGACCATCAGCAAATAGCACAGCCCCGCCGCCAAAAAATCACCCCAGCCAAAAAAAAAACGCATTAATTAGAACACCCAAATTTTTGGTAAGATTCGGAATTAGCCCCGGAGCCGACGCATTAAAGGGGCCTATATTCCAAAACCGACACCCACATTATAGACTGTTTGGGGACATGGACCCTGAGGGTGTACGCAACATTAGACCGCACCCAAAATATAGGAGTTTCAGGAAATTTGTAAGCCCAAAACCCTTTATAGAATTCTTACAGATCCTGTTAAAGGAACCCTTATAGTACTCTTATAGTAACCTATACTGAAAATAGAACCCTAGCAAAAATTATAATCTTAGCTGTTTCTTAGGGATTACAATAACCAAAAAGTAAAAAATGTTTCTAAGTACCCCTATTTCTGATCCCAGCAACAGGATGAGGCCAAGCGCCCAGACATCCCGCGCAGCACTCTCCAAGCCTTGTGATGAGCAGGCGGTTTAGGGTTCAGGTTTTAGGGGGGTAGGGTTCAGGGTTTAGGGGTGCAGGGTTTATGGGTGTAGGGTTTAGGGTTTAGGGCCGGCAGATTCAGTCACTCTTGGTTACTCCAGGCGTCACGATGACGTTACGGGGTCAACTCGCAAGGCTACTGTACTCTGTAAGGGGTTACTCGACAGGTTCCAATGCGGGTGACTACAACAAGGATTACTTGCGGTTGGAGGCTGTGGGGTTGAACTCTGGGTTCATTTCAATAATAAGAGGACTTGGGGATTTTAGCGTTTCTCACCCAGCAGACCAAAAGTCTACACTCAACTACCCTAATTATGGGATCTACCCACACACCAGTGTGGACTTTGCCGTTTCAATGCCCATGTCAATGCAGGGACTACTTTACGGACGAAGTATATACCATTTGGGCACGTAAACCCTCAATCCTGAAGCTCTTCAGAACCCTATTGCTAACCCGCATCAGCCCTTAAAGGCTACCAGAGGGCTCCCCCAAAAAAGTGCCCGCTGGAGGCTACTATATAGGGCTCTGCAATAGGATCCCCTTCAAAGCACCCCTCATGGCTACATGGACCTTTAGGGGATTCAAGGGTCAACACTCGGGAACCATGGAGCCAAGACCTTCAAACACCTGCGGTAAAGCAGGCCAAATTGGAGGTTCATGGGTAGTCACAAATCGGTTTTCAGAGCACGCTAACTATATAGTCATGGTCTATACAAGGGGACGTATGAGCTCAATCTATCAAAGGAGAAAAGGAGGGACCCTTAATGGGGACCCCTGCCCTATAATGGGCTATATAGTGGGTATATTATAGCTTTGTCAGGGTATATACCTGGGGGTCCTTGTTAAGGGTCCCTCCTTTTCCCCCTGAAGCCCTAAGAAGACTTCGCCTTTTGCAGCTAAGGCGCCATCCCGCTCGTAAAGGTAGACCTGCGGTCGCCACTCCATTCCCCAAGGCTCCATGTAGCCATATAGTATATACTTAGGCCTCAAAAGGGTTCCTATGTAGGCACTTTAAGGCCTAATTGTATATACTATGTCACTACATGGAGCCTTAGGGATTTAGAGTTGGGTGGTTGCCAAAATTAGGGTCCCTGCAAGGGTCCTTATTATAATACGGCACCTAATACTTAGGGTAATTACCCAAAAAGGGACCATAATTTTGACAACTACCCAGTTGAGGTGTTGGGGTATATGCACTATGTGACTACAACATGACACTGGCCGAGAGGGGTCGCAAACCATTCTACCCGCAACTGCAGCATGGAAACAACAGTTTGTAATACCCGTACACATATCCCCCATGCCTCAACCAACAGCAGCCACAAACCAACACCACCAAATCCTATGCTGCCTCTCTGGGCAGGTACAAAGGCGTTCCAGACGCTCCACAATCGCGAGGTTTCCTTCAGGGTGGTGCATGGTCCATGGTTCAGGATATCCGTAAACCTCAAATGACCAACGCCTGAAACTAAACTCCATGCAAACTTTACGCCCTAAACCCTCAATGCTGAGCGCTAGTTCTTTATTTAAGCCCTTACACATGAAGGCTTTCAGGGATTCCGGTAAAGCATGGGGCCCAACGCCTTAGAGTTTTTCAGAACTTGAGGTTCTGAACTTTGGGACGAACTCTAACGACTTCAGTGCCGAATATAGGGTTTTAGGCAGAGAAAGAACCGACCTCTCCACAGTACGATGCGTAACAGCTTTACAGCTGGATTCATTGATCGTAAGACGAACGGTCCTGTCGCCGTGGCTGCTGCGGATTCAGCAAGTGCCACCACAACCGGAACGGAGCACAAGCAATGCCCACAGCAACAACCGTTTCCCCACAGCAACAACCGTTTCGATAGCAATACAAATGATGATTCCCGTTCGCCGTGGCCTATTCTGATAATTGTCGAATGCTCCTTGCTTCCGTCCAACCCCTTCATCTAGTTCATGGTTGGGGTAGTATAAAACATCTAAATGTTTATTCCTTCTTGGGTTTAACTATCAATTTTGATATGTCAAGGTCATCTTGCCAGGTACCTACCATAGCCCACAAACCCGACAACTCTCAACCCTCGCCCCGAAACCGCCTCTGCTGGCTTCTCCATACATGGTCTGAGCGAGTCTTCTCTGTAATTCCGCAGCCTCAAACTTCCTGGTCTCAATCCAGAAACCCTAAACCCTAATCCAGAACCCTGAAGCACATAACGAAATTTTCCTCCACTCCCCAAAGACTTCTTGTCTCCTTCATCATACTTCCTATAGACTAAGACTCCCTACTTGGAGCTTCATGGTCTTTTTTAAGTAGGCTTTAGGGTTCATGGGTAGTTCTAAGTAGGGTAAATCAATAAGTAGGAGAGCTGTATTATTGGCCCATCTTGACGGACTTATGAACCCTACTTCCAACTACACATGAACCTCCAAGTAAACTCCAAGCCCAAACTCAAAGAAGTAGGAACCTGACTAAGAAACCTTGGGCCTTTACTACGGTCCTTATATGAACCCTATTATTTTGGGGTTATAAGAACCACTGTTAAGGAGACCGGCTGTCTTTGGATCACAGGCGAGTCCGAGGTCGATAATGGCCGCAAAGCACCTTACGGTTGATGATATAAATCCTGCATTACCTTAAGGACCCTAAACTATGGGAATTATGGTATATTCCTTATTATGGGTCATGCAGGATTTATATCATCAACCGTAGCAGAGTGGAAGACACACTTGCGGTTTAGGGTCGAAGGCCTTTCCTTAAGCCGTATAGCCTAAGCCGTGGTCGGGCTTTGCGTCTTGGGGTGTACCCTGCAATCATCATGTCATGCAGATCCCTTTTTGGGCCTGAAAACTTGAAGAAGGCCCCCCATATGGTTCGACGATCACAACGGCTGAGAGGAGACATCCATTGTCTAGAGAGCTGGAGCGTAGGCATTTATTTATTTCTAGTCTAGCCAAGACATCTCTAAACCCAAGTCGAACATCTTCAGCTCAAAGGCAATATGCAATCCCTGAACCCTTCAACGAACAAAAACCAAATCCATCTTCCACAACCGAAGGCTTGGTTTGTTTATCCCCAAACCTCTAAACCTCTCGGGTTTAGGGTATAGGACCCTCAACCCTAAACAAATTCTTAGGGGCTAGGCAGAGCGAAGCCGCGACAACTATGATATACCCCCGCAGCCCTACTCTAGAACCCTCCCTTTGGGTCCATGTACCCATATAGAGATGGCCCCAACGTACCTATATAGGGACTACATTAAGGCCAATGTACATACTATAAGAGTACATGGACCCTTAGGGCCTACTATTAGGACCCCAAAAAAGCACATAAGCAAACATTAAGGTAGGGATATCCCATATAAATCCCCTTATAATGAAGCCCAATAAGGTAGTGATATCCCCATAAAATGCTTATGCTTATGTGCTTTTTGGGTCCCTAAACTATAGAACCCCTTTAAGGCTCCCTTTAAAGAGACCCTATGAATCAGCCCACTAGGGCCCCTCTGATACTCGGGCTCACAGCAAAAACGCAAGTCCACCCATTCCAACCCGCTCAACAGGTAACACAGGGGCGGGTATGTTATACTATAATTGCAACTAGCACTACAGTAACCGAAATCATATTGGTAGTTATTCAAGCCCCTACATAAAGCAAACAATGCAAAAGTCCCGAAATCAGGACCTGAATCATCAAGAACAGGTCCTGGGAATAAGCTATACCGGGGCCCCTTGGTGCTTGACTCAGAGCGTGGATCCAGAATTCTACCTATAAGCCCCATTGCAGTTCGGTTCCTTCTCTTGTGTTACCTTGCAGGATCCCAATTATACTTATAAGACTGGTTAAACCCGAAAAGGAAACTACAATGGAGACTGTAGCCCAAAGCATCCTAGGTATTGTTGCGGGAGACACTTCCCCCGTCATGATAGTAGTTCCTATCATAGAAACCGTACATTCTACTATATGTACTATAGACTATAGAGCTCTTACTAATTAGAATAGGGCTTTGGGGTCCAAATATACTATACTTAGTAAACTAAGGACCCCCAAACAAAAACTAGTATTGGTATTTATTTTTCTTACGAAACCCCATGAGTCTTAAACTTAAACCCATACAGGTTACATATGGTTACTTTGGATAGATACACCTACTCTAGGTCTCTAAGGATTCATATCTTAAGGCTTTTTGGGCCCATGTTGAGCCTTACTTGGAGGTTCATGGCTAGTTATAAGTGGAGTCATAAGTCCCCTAACAAAGGCTATAAAGTGCAGCTATCCTCCGTATAGCCCTACTTATAACTACCCCTGAACCTCCAAGTAGGGCTAGAGAACTGAAGCCTCAACTTTCCGGGCTCGGGGCTTGGGAGGCACAGGAAGCTCTCGGGGCTCGCTCGGTTTGGGGTTCGGGGTTTGGGTTCAGGGTTTCGGGTTTGGGGTTAGGATTTGGGGATGTAGGGCTTGCGACAAAGAGCTCTTGATCTCAAAGCTTCGGGAAGCAAGAGCTATGGTAGAGGGGGATCCAAAAGCTAGTTCCCATCTCCGGTCAATGCTCAACTTCGGGCCATATTCCCTAAGGGTCTATGTACCCATATAGCATATACTTTGGGCCCAATGTACATATATAGGGAATACTTTAAGGCCAATGTATATACTTTATGAGTACATGGACCCTCAGGGATTGTGGCTGGATGATGTTTGGTTCGTAGCAATGCTGCGAGGGTGCGCGCTTCCTTGACAGTTCAGCATGGCATTGGCCGGCTTGAGGTCGAGATGGAGCAGTCCAGCTTTGTCGTGAAGAGCCTGGGGGAGTCGAGGCACAGTTCCAAAGCCATCTACGCAAACTTCACATCTGACTTTCGGAACGACACCCTGCGTTGCACACCACTAGTAGTAGTAGTAGTAGTAGTAGTAGTAGTAGTTGTGGTAGTAGTAGTAGTAGTAGTAGTAGTGATGTTGACTTGCTATTAGTAACCCCCCCCTTGATTGTTTGCGGCCCCGGGTGGGGGGGATTGACTAACTACTGAGGGGGGGTCGGTCGTCGTAGTACAGTAGTACAGTATCACAATAGTACAGTAGTCGTGCAATAGTACAGTAGTACAGCAGTACAGTAGCTGCAGCTCTCTGCATAAATGAAGCGGTCTTAGTAGCTGCCATTTGTCTCTCGCTGCACACCTGAAGTGGTCCTAGTAGCTGCAGCGTCTCTGTCTGTGCACACCTGAAGCGGCCCTAGTAGCTGCAGTTTCTCGCTCTCTCTCCCCCTCTCTGCCACAAGACAAACAACACAAGACAAGAAGTAGCTAACTTTTTTCGGTTGCCGGCTAGGGGGTTCGTAATTGAGGGGGGTTGATAATTGAGTTCCGGGGGCGGGGTTTTGTAATTGAGGGGGGGGGTTATAAATCTGAAGTCGACATTAGTAGTAGTAGTAGTAGTAGTAGTAGTAGTAGTAGTAGTAGTAGTAGTAGTAGTAGTAGTAGTAGTAGGTAGTAGTAGTAGTAGTAGTAGTAGTAGTAGTAGTAGTAGTAGTAGTAGTAGTAGTAGTAGTAGTAGTAGTAGTGGTAGTGGTAGTAGTAGTAGTAGTAGTAGTAGTAGTAGTAGTAGTACTAGTAGTACTACTAGTAGTAGTAGTAGTAGTAGTAGTAGTAGTAGTAGTAGTAGTACTAGTAGTACTAGTAGTAGTAGTAGTAGTAGTAGCAGTAGTAGTAGTGGTAGTGGTAGTGGTAGTGGTAGTGGTAGCGTTCGTGGTAGTGGTGTCGTGGTAGCGGTGGTAGTGGTGGTGGTGGTGGTGGTGGTGGTGGTGGTAGTGGTAGTGGTCGTGGTCGTGGTCGTGGTTGTGGTGGTGGTGGCGGTGGTGGTAGGGGTACCATCATCGTCATCATCATCACACTCATGCTGGACGTCTTGACCGTCATAACTGTGGTCACAGTCATCACCGTGATCATCATGGCCGGCAGCAGTGGATCATGTTGCATGGCAGCATGAGCAACTTCGACACGACAGTCGGCGCAAGCTGAGCGGGCATACAAAGAGGGTGAAGACGATACTGTTAGTGCTGATGACACTTCGGGAAACAAAGCCTCCATGCCGACACTGAATCTGCCAAGCATTGTAACAGCACAGCACTTCGTAACAGCATGAGACAGCTCTGAACTCCGAGCCTGTACTCCTTGAACCATGTCGTGGAAGAGACCGAGGATGTACGGCCTGAGTTCAGAAGTTTGACCGTGTTCGGCATAGTTGGGCTGCTTCTGTCGCTTGGGGGGGGCTGCATTCTTATGACATGGAACCTACGAATGTAATGGTGGGTGACTCTACTGGCAGTCAGCAACTTCAGCCATGCTGCGTGCTGCCACTGCTGCCACTGCTGCCACAACTGCGACTCGTGCTGCTACTGCTACTACTACCACTACTACCACTACTACTACTACTACTACTACTACTACTACTACTACTACTACTACTACGACTACGACTACCACTACCACTACCACTACCACGACCACGACCACGACCACGACCACGACCACGACCACGACCACGACCACCACCACCACCACCACCACCACCACCACCACCACCACCACCACGACCACGACCACGACCACGACCACGACCGCCACCACGACCACGACCACGACCACGACCACTACCACTGCCACTGCCACTGCCACTGCCAATGCCACTGCCGCTGCCGCTGCCACTGCCACCCACTATACCACTATACGACTATACCACTATACAACTGTACCACTATACCACTATACCACTATCACTACTACCACTGCTACTACTACTACTACTACTGCTGCTACTACTACTACTACCACTACCACTACCACTACCACTACCACTACTACTGCCACGACTACGACTACTACTAGTACTACTAGTACTACTAGTACTACTAGTACTACTACTGCTGCTACTACTACTACTACTGCTACTACTGCTACTACTACTGCTACTACTACTACTGCTACTGCTACTGCTACTGCTACTGCTAGTACTGCTAGTACTGCTAGTACTGCTAGTACTACTACTACTACTACTACTACTACTACTACTACTACTACTACTACTACTACTACTACTACTACTACTACTACTACTCGTGTCGCTGCTGCTGCTGCCATAATCACCTTCCTATTGCTGTGAGTAAGTACAAGTGGCATGCTGCAGACGCAATAACGTCGTGTGAGCCTGAAGCATCCGGAGCAACAGCAAATTAATATTGAGAACTCTAGTTGGGAGTTTCCGAAAATAGGGGACCCTGATATAGTACCCTAGACTCTAAATAGTAGGCTCCTCATTATAAAGACCCCAAAAACAGGTACCCCTAATTTTCGGAATCTCCTCAATCCTCTGGGCCGGACGGGGACAATCGACAAAATTGTCACGTGCTGGCGGTTTAGGCTTTAGGGTTTAGGTTCATCCAATCCGGAAAGCAGGGAGCAATTGGTCGGAAAATGAGGCCGGGCAGCGTGGTCCAAGCAGGGTTCAGTTTGGTCCAGTCTTTTCGGCCTGCCAAGGAAGGCGGTGGCAGGGCTGTGGGTGGTGCAAACGGGGCCAAGGTATTCTAAGCCCTAACCTACTGGGAGGTTCATGGGTAGTTACAAGTATGTAAGTACGATAAATACACTTGTAACCCATATTAGGGGACTTATAACCCTTCTTATAACTACCCATGAACCTCCAAGTAAACCTTTAACCGCTGCACCTTCTTTTCATGGCCTTACGTCCGGGCGTTCGGTCCACCAGTCATGACCCGACTCCCTCAACCCAATGGTGTAGGGTTTCGGATTTCGGTTGCAAATTTCGGGATTCGGTTCCCAAGCAGCCTTAATTAAACCTCTGATCATAAATATCTCGGCAAAGAACATGCAGCGAGGTTTCGTCGTTCTTTATGTTGTCGTTATGGTTTTCGGATTTGCACTTAGTAACTTTAAGGAGCAAGCTTGCCTGCTGCTGCCGCAAGGATTCCACTGCTGATCCTCTTCCTTTGTTGGGTCTAAAAGTTGACTCTGTTTTCCTTATATTTCCGTAATACCACTTTCCTCCAAAATACCACAAAGCACTTTTCGAGTTCTACTGATGCGCTTATATCAAGCGGTCCGGGCAGTGCAGCCCTTGTCTCGGCAATGCAAAACAATTTTAACGCGGACCTAGTCCTATCCTCTAAACCGTAAACCGACCTCAGGTAGTATAAGGGCCTGCGTCATTACCGATACTGTTTTGGTGTACTTATTTAAGTTCAGTATAATATAGACCCCACAACCCTATCCTACCTATTAATGGCCTGTATATGGTCTGACTCCTCACTGTGCTGATGGGGCTCGAGGACTGCACCACACTGCTCATAATATGGTATGACCCTTACGATCCCAAGTCAGCCCCCTACTTGGAGGTCCATGGGTAGTTGTAAGTGGGGTTATAAGTCCCCTACGATGGGTCATAACCCTAGTTATCCTACTTATAACCCTACTTATAACTACCCATGAACCTCCAAGTAGACCCTAAACCCTAAACCCTTATAGAATCCCTATAGATCCTTAAAAGGGACCCTTAAAGGAACCCTTATAGAATCCCTATAGATACCTGTGAAGGGAAACCTAAACCCTTCCAGCCTTCGCGGCTTCCCCATGAGTTGCAGCCCCTGGTGTCGCTGTCGCATTTCTTGAGGAAGTCGGAAAGCTCCCCGCCGTTCATGTAAGGCATCCTCGAACAGCATGTTACAGTAGGGTTCCTTCAAAGGGGTTCTTATAAGGGGCTAGTATAAGGGCTACTATACGGGCTTTATATAGGGACCTTAACAATTAGATTTGGGGTTTGCGGCCCATTACGTATGCAATGATTATAAGCAAGGAACGACCGAAACAGAATAGGTAATTACTAATGTCCCGATGATAGTTTCGGGCTTCTTCTAGGCAATGATGGGGCTGCCTAGCTAGGCATTAAGGGTTGTGAGGAAACCCGGCTTAAGCCCACTGGAAGTTGTGACTGTCCTCGAACTATGCTGTATCCCACCTATTTCCTATTCTCGAGACGCTTGCCGAGCGAATCCGGCATGCATTCGCCCCGTAGTCGATCGTAGGGCTAGCATCATCCCCTGAACCCTAAACCCTAAAACACCAAATCCCTCAAAATCCCTAAGGCCCTAAAACTCCAAATCCCTCAAAAACCCTAAGGCCCTAAAACTCCAAATCCCTAAAACCCTGAAGCTCTAAAACTCCAAATCCCTCAAAAACCCTGAGGCCCTAAAACTCCAAATCCCTCAAAAACCCTAAGGCCCTAAACCCCAAATCACTAAACCCCAAGTCCCTAAACCCCAAGTCCCTAAACCCTTTTATCCATATGAAGTGGAGGGACCCAAACCTTTCGGGGGTTCCGCAATCCGAATCCGAAGGAAAAGCCACTGAGGTCCCCAATGCTTTGTGCCCAAGCTGAACGGTTTATAGGCATTTTAGGCTTTGGGGGCCTAGAGGCACCCGAACCGTAGACTTGATTAGAGGATGGTTTCTTGACTAACCGACATACGCCAATCAGTTTTCAAGTGCGGGCTTGGCGGAACCATTGTTGGGACAGCCCGTCTTTCATGAAAAGCATGCAGACCACTAGAAACCCGGACGACAATGGAACTGCTAATAACCGACAAGCACAAGGGGATGGAAGGGATTTCTCTCTAGATCTATGGGAGACTAACTCCCAAACCCTAGGCCCTGCAACCCTAAACCCCAGGCCCTAAAACTCGAAACCGTAAACCCCTAAAACTCTAAACCAAAACTAAAGCCGACACCCCTAACGCTCTGAACCCTAAGCCCACAATAGGCCGTAAACCCTAAACCCCAAATACGGAGTGAAAGGTTCAGTGTTCCAACATGCTTGCAAATCTCGGGCCGAGGATCCTTGTTAGTCTTGATAGAACTCTGTAACCGAAAATTCGTCAAACGAGTCCATGTCAGTTCTGAAGATGACAATAGGCTAGGCAGCGCGAGCCATCTAACTCCTGCCTGGAGGATCATGGGACTTAGTAACTGGGTTATTACTAGGGTGACTACACTTATGATTTCTTATAACCCCAATTAGGGCACTTAAAACCATACTTACTAAGTCCCCTGATCCTTTAAGTGGCCAAAGCGGCATAATCCAATATCCAGCTTCGTTGTCGATGAACGCCGGCTCGCCCACGGCAGAAATGCAGAACTCCGAGACACCGCGCATGTCCTCCAAAACCTTGATTTCCTGCCTGGCGATCAACAGGGCTCCAACACCAGCCCATGCTCCGCAAGAGCTACTGTTCGAATCGGTATGTGTGTGTGTATATATATATATAGATAGATAGATAGATAGATAGATAGATAGATAGATAGATAGATAGATAGATAGATAGATATGTATGTGTGTCGTGCATCTGTGTATATGTGTGTATATTATGCACATATATGTATGTATGTATATATATATATATATGTGTTATGTGTATGTATATCTATATATATATATATATATGTGTATGTGTTTTGTGTACATGTGTGTATGTGTGCAAATGTGTATGTATCCATGTATGTATGTATGTGTAAAGGGCAACTCTCCTTTCCGACCGCCTTTAGACAGCATGCTTCGGGTTTGGGGGCTCTTTATCGCTTTAAAACCCTGACCCTACTGCCCCAAAAGTCGGATAGAAGAGCTGACAGCTAGAAAGCTGTAGATCCCCTGGCTGGGATGCAGGGTTTAGGGTTTAGGCCCTGAACATAAAGAAGGCCTGAACAGCTTGGTCGATGAGCTGCTCTTTTTTTGCACTTTTAGGGTTTAGGGTTCGGGGTTTAGGGCTGCAGCTCCAAAAGCGCTTCCTGGGCCGAGAAAACGGGCACAGGGCTCATGCTCAAGATCCGGTTTGCTTTGCCGGGCACCAGAAATATCGCCCCATTTGGCTCTACAGTCGAAGCCCAAAAGTTGGAAACCCCATAGCCTCGATCCTGAAGAGTAGTGTATGGGGAATCCCAGCACTATTTGGCCTTAATCCGGCTTCCGACTTTATGGGGCTTACTCTAAACCCTATATGAACCCTAAACCCTATACCTTAGAAGCTGCCCCCACCCTGTAATAGTGAATATAAGGATTAAATTAGGGCCCTATTATATTCCTATTATACCACTATTACAAGGTGGGGGCCCCTTCTAACCTATACCCTATAACCCCGCAAACCTTCTCCCGGCCACGAGGAGTCCTCCAGCTCGAGGATTGGGCCTTGAAGCCCTAGACCCCGAACCCAAAGCCGGACCTCAACACGCTGAGATCCGAAACCTGAAAACCCGAAAAACCCTGCAAGCCCTACGGGTTTAGGGTTTAGGGTTTAGGGGTTTAGGGTTTAGGGTTTAGGGACCCTAAACCCTAAAGCCTGAAACCCGAAACCCTTCAAGCCCTGAAGCCTTAAGATTGAGAACAAACTACTCAAAAAACCCTGAAGCACTAAACCCTCAAAGCGAACCGTGAAGGCACCTCACCATGGTGCTTTTCTTCACGATCAGCTTTACTGACACATAGACTTCCTCGCTCCGGGCCCAGAACTCTTTGACAAGGGTTACTTCAGGCGTATGTGTAGGGTTGAAGGTTCAGGGCTTAGGGTCTAGGCTTTGGGGTTTAAGGGTGTAAGGTTCGGGGTTTCGGGGGTGTTTGGGTGTGGTGTTTGGGGTCATGCAGGAACTCTGCGCCAGCAGCTTTAAACACCCTAAACCCCAAACCCAAGACTGAACTCTAAACCCTACATAAGCCCTAAACACTAAACCACTACACCCCTAAACCCCTACACCCTAAACCCCTACACATAAACCCTAAACCCCTACTGGGAACTCCAGAAAGTTGGAATATGGTTTCAGGGTAGGATACCTTATAATTTACCATAAAGGGCTGGCTTAGGATAATCATATTCCAACTTTCTGGCTTTACTTTAAACCCGATACCTACCTGAACACAAGCCCTCAAGCCCAGTCTTGAGAGCCATGAGGAGAGTAAACATTGTCATTCAATACGCACCCCTTAAAGAAACCACAAATACTTGGAGGTTCATGGGTAGTTATAAAAGGGGTTATACGTCCCCCAAACTATGGGTTATAACTCTAGTTATTCTACTTATAACCCTCCTTATAACTACCCATGAACCTCCAAGTACCTTGATCGACCCGTCTTTATGCCATACTTTATTTGGCACACCCCTGCAAGCTCAGCCCTCAGTGGTCCTTGTATTTCTCGCACAGCACCTTGCATTGATACACCTGTGGGCTTCAGGGTGTAAAGCACGTCCCGACATAAGAGGTAATCCTAAATCCTAAGCCCTAATACAGGGGGCTTATTAATTACAATGGGGCTTTGATGCCCAGTATATTATAGTTACGATAAGGAACCCAACATAGTGTAGCCAACATTAAACCCTGAACCCTAAACCATCCTGTGAGACTGTCCTTCAGAGAAGCTTCCTACCCCAACCCTAAACCCTAAACCCCAAAACCCTAAACCCATCTCGTGACACCCGTGTATTTCGTGTCCAGCACTGCTCAACCCAGGAGAGCGCTGCCACTGCTCAACCCAAGGTTACTAGACCTAAGAGGAACCTAGGAATAAAAAGGGTGCCCTTTTTGGTTTAAAGGGGTTTATAAGGGAACCTAAACCCTAAAAGAGGGAATAAGGGCCTACTCTGGGTCCTAGGTTATCAGATTTGTAACCCGAAGGCTATAAGGACTCATATCTTAAAGCTTCCGCGCCCAAAGACCATGCTATAGAAAGCTTTTGGGCTATTTTGAGCCTGAGGGTCAGGCTTCTTTGCGATTGCACCGCCCGCAAACCGTGCAACGACCTAGAAGACCCGCAGCTCGTAGGTTGAGAATTGAGCGGGTTTAGGGTTTAAGGGTTTGAGGTCTCGAGTTTAGGGCTTAAGTTCCGAACCTTAGTCAGGCCTTCACCGTCATACAACGAGAATTCTTGCAGCAAACACCAAAATGAAACCACGACTTTGAACCACCAATACAACAACACTCTGAGCCCTAAATAACCCAATCCCAATCCTTGCCTTCCCAAAGGCGCCCTGCCCCAGCTTCTTGACGACACTTAACTTCTCGCTCCACTCTTGCGGCAAGACAGGGTCTTCCTCGTCTTCCTTGGATTGTCGTGGGTTGGGGGGCTATAAGCGGTTTACACTGTGTTATGGTGTCTTGATAAGAGGTTGCCGAGTTCGGCAGAAGATTGAATTGGTGTTCGCAAGCAGTATCTGGCTTCTTGTGGAGTGCTTTGTCGGATGTACCCTAAACCCTAAACCTCTAAGAGCTGCGTGGGCGCTAGTGTCACTGTGGCTCGCAACGAGAACAACCCTACTTCAGGGCCCTTCATAACTAGACTAAGGTTTTGGGGTGTGGTCTTCGTAGAATTACTTGCAACAAGGAACACAATCTAGGCAAATGGTATACGGTGTTGGCATAAATTAATTAGCCGATACTCGAAACCCTATATTGGTGGTTGTCAAAATTATGGTCCCTTTTTGGGTCCCTAATTTTGAAGCGGCACCTACTATTTAGGGTGTATATATATATATATACACACCCCCAAAACGATCCTAATGTTGACAACTTCCCATATGATAACCTTCCGCCCAGGAGACACTGAAGCTGGTCGCAATGAGGGACACGTTTTCACCTCTCCAAGTCTTCGGGCGTTGCTATAGGGGACTTCAAAAACAGAAAAGGGTCCTTAAGGGACTATAAGGGTTACTATAAGGGATCTATACCGGTACTGTAATATAGGCGCCTTAAAGTAGTTAGAATGAGTGAGGTTTTGGAGACAGTGATACTATAAATACGCTAAAGAACCCTCCAAATCGTATTGTATAGTAATTACATGGTTGGGAGTCAGGACAAAACGTTTTCCGATTAGTCTACTGACGTTCAGACGACTAACTTGGTTTCAGGTCGGCACGCCAAACCCACCGTGTCAAGACTTAGTGTGTGGGGCTTAGTGGTCTGATAGATACTTCAGCACGCGAGGGTTGACCCTGTAGCCAGCAACCCTTAACGCTCAACCAAGCCCTAAACCCTTGAACCCCAAAGCAACACAAATCATACCCACCCTCTAGAGGCCCTGCGAAAACCTAAAACCACAAAATCCATGTTTTGGGAGGACCGCAACCAAACATCAAACTCATAGCACAGGGGCCTTATCAAATGGAACAAGGATTTGAGTTTTAGTGTCGCTATCAGGAACACAAGGACCGTGAATTTTGGAGTAACTACAAATAGCTTTCATTGTATTAATATCGCCGCGAGTGTATCTAGGCTATAAAGGGTTATAATCCTGCATCCGGGAACTAAGCTTTAACCCTGCGTGGTGTCTGACAGGGGCACAGATCTAATTTAGGGTTCAAACTTTTTGGGGTTTCATGGCGGGTTTTCGGAATGAGGGTCTAGGGATGTGAGGTTTATGATTTTTCAGGGTTTAGGGACAACGGGTTTGGGGTTTTAGGAGCAGATTTACGAGCCCCTCGCGGCCTCATGACCCTAAACCCTAAACCTTAAACCCCTAAACCCCTAAACTCTAAACCCCTAAACCCTAAACCCCTAAACCCTGAACCCCTGTAAACCTCCAAACCCTGAACCCCTAAACCCCTAAACCCCTAAATCCCTAAACCCTAAACTCTAAACCCTAAACCCCTAAACCCCCAAAACTCTAAACCCTAAACCCTGAACCGATTTCATCCCCCAGCCTGCCCGAAAACGCTGGAACTCACTCTCGTCGAGGGCACGATACCTCGGATTCATGGTCGTTGGGCTCAGGGCTTAGGGGTCAACGGTTTAGGGTTTAGGCTTTAGGGTTTAGTTTAGGGGTTTAGTGCTTAGGGGTCAAGGGTTTAGGGTTTAGGGCATAGCAGCATTTTGGGGTAGACTTCATGCCTGTCTTTTTCGGAAGACAATTTGAAGTAAAGAATTATGGAGCCAAGTTGCCAAGGGTCCAGAGTCGAAGGTCCAGCTTACGGTCTTGCGGCTGCAGGGTTTAGGGGAAAAATGGTTTTGGGGTTTCCAAAACCCGGAACCCTAAGTCCTAAACTCTAAACCCCTTCACCGTAAACCCCAGACCCTAAATCCTAAACCCTATAAGCCCTATAAACCCTATAGATCCCTTTATGGAACCCTACAGAACCCTTAAGGTACCCTTTCAGGAACCCTCAATCCTAAACCCAGACTAGCCAAGAAACCAGAAGAGCCACTCAAACCTCAAGGCGGATTTGCGGATCGCCTGCTGCGACCAAAACTTATAGAAATATAGTTGATGGTTTAGGGTTTAGGAGAATTTAGGGTTTAGGGGTTTATAGGGATTGGAAAAAATCCTGCATTACCTTAATTTCTCTAGACGATGGGAGTTATGGCATATGTTCTTTATGATGGGTAATGCAGGTTTTATATCATCCACCATACGTGTTATCGTGGCAGGCTGTTGTTTAGGGGTTTCGGGTTTAAGGCGGCCTTCATAATATAAAACAGGGTTTGGAAGGTATGTTACACATTCGTAGCAGTATAAGAGTACTCACGAACCCCGAGGAAAAGTGTTACTACATGTTGCTTCATAATCGGATTTCTAGATGAACTGGCTTATCTTTGTCGCCGAGCTCAGCTCAGCGGGACAATGATTGCACAACGGAGCTCCTTCGCCCTATGCCCTAATCCTAAACCCTAAACCCCTAAACCCCAAACCCCTAAACTAAACCCTAAACCCCTAAACCCCTAAACTAAACCCCAAACCCCTAAACTAAACCCCAAACCCCAAACCCCTAAACCCCAAACCCCTAAACTAAACCCTAAACCCCAAACCCCTAAACCCCAAACCCCAAACCCCTAAACTAAACCCTAAACCCCAAACCCCTAAACCCCAAACCCCAAACCCCTAAACTAAACCCCAAACCCCTAAACTAAACCCCAAACCCCTAAACTAAACCCCAAACCCCTAAACTAAACCCTAAACCCCAAACCCCTAAACCCCAAACCCCAAACCCCTAAACTAAACCCTAAACCCCACACCCCTAAACCCCAAACCCCAAACCCCTAAACTAAACCCCAAACCCCTAAACTAAACCCCAAACCCCTAAACTAAACCCCAAACCCCTAAACTAAACCCTAAACCCCAAACCCCTAAACTAAACCCTAAACCCCAAACCCCTAAACTAAACCCCAAACCCCTAAACTAAACCCCAAACCCCTAAACTAAACCCCAAACCCCTAAACCCTAAACCCCTAAACTAAACCCTAAACCCCAAACTAAACCCCCAAACCCCTAAAAACCCCAAACCCCTAAAAACCCCAAAAAAACCCTAAACCCCAAACCCCTAAACTAAACCCCAAACCCCTAAACTAAACCCCAAACCCCTAAACCCCAAACCCCTAAACTAAACCCTAAACCCCAAACCCCTAAACCCCTAAACTAAACCCTAAACTAAACCCCAAACCCCTAAACTAAACCCCAAACCCCTAAACTAAACCCCAAACCCCTAAACTAAACCCCAAACCCCTAAACTAAACCCTAAACCCCAAACCCCTAAACTAAACCCACTAAACTAAACCCCAAACCCCAAACCCCTAAACTAAACCCCAAACCCCTAAACTAAACCCCAAACCCCTAAACTAAACCCCAAACCCCTAAACTAAACCCTAAACCCCAAACCCCTAAACCCCAAACCCCAAACCCCTAAACTAAACCCCAAACCCCTAAACTAAACCCCCTAAACTAAACCCTAAACCCTAAAGCCTAAAGCCGAAACCCCCTGGAGCCGGTCAGTGGGACAAGGGCGGCTCGGGGGTTTTAGGGCGTGGCTTTTGGGGTTCCCTGGGCTCTTTAGCTCCTTATTCAATAGGGGTTTAGGGGTTTCGGGTTTAGACTTTAGGGTTTAGTTTAGGGTTTAGGGGTTTAGGGTTTAGGATTTAGTTAATCATCCCTGGCTCCTTAGCTCCTCCAATATCAAAGGTTAGGTAGGGTTTGCGGTGCAATGCTTTGCCACCAGGAGCTGCCCAGGTTTTGTCCGGAAGTGTCTAGGTGTTCTTGGGAATTCGTTGAGCTTCGTTGAGTTTTGTTCAGTTTTGGTGGTTTGTTCAAGTTTGTATCCATTGCTTTGATAGTGTTTCAGGCTTTCATGGTTCTGCACCCCATAGGCGACTATTACGAGGAAACCCTCTGTATCTTGCCCGCCCATATCCCCAATGGTCTGGGCGGTTAGTACAAACTATATAAAAACTGTTCCACTTCCACAAGCAAATCCTTCACAATCATACCTGGCACACCACTGCCATGATTTCGATGACAATCTGTGTTGGCGCAAGCCCTGATCCTCAAAACCTAAACCCTAAACTCGAAACCCTAAACCCCTAAACCCTGAAACCCTAAACCCTCAACCCAAACACAGCCTGAACTGCAAACCATGGCACCTGTGAACGTTTGCCAGGGCCTCGCCCCGCATCATCGATTCCGACCCGACAGCCTGACCAGACGGTTGATGATAGAATTCCTGCATTACCTTAAGGACCCTAAACTATGGGAATTATGGTATACTCCTTATTATGGGTATTGCAGGATTCATATCATCAACCGGAATACTGCAGGTTTACTTTGGAGGTTCATGGTAGGGATAAGTGGGGCTTTAAGTCCCCTAGTATAGGCTGAAACTAGAATCATCTTGCTTATCACCTAAGTGTCCATGAACCTCCAAGTATGGTCTTTTTGTTCAAGCTCTGGCGCTTAGGGGTTAAAGAAGAAGGGAAGGGAACGTGGGGTTGTGTAATTGCGCTTTAGTGTTCGGGGCTTCGGGCTTGAGAGTTTCGGCTGCGGGTCAGAGTTGAGAGTTTTGGTGGTGCACGGGTTTATCCTGGGTAGGAACATTCCCACGACAAGTCATGAGCCATGAAGCTTGGTGTCTAAAGGGTGAGCTGCAAGCTCGATAGCCAGTTTCATTTCATTCTCTGCGGTAGTGTCGTCGACGACGCTCGCCTAGCACTTGAATTCGGGTGAGACTGAAAATGACGACCGAAGTCCCGACTTGCAAAATGTGAAGCCCGCCGAAACCAGCCAGTCTTTAGCTGGTCCCAGTCCGTGGGCTAGGCCATCACAGCGCACCTGGAAGTCGCATCTATCATTGATGGCGAGCTCAAGGCCTTTGGCCAGAGTTGAGCAAGCCTGTTCCAGCCAGTCGCTGTACGCCAACCCAAGTCGAAGGCTGGTACTGGTAGGAACAAAGGGAGAGATGGTGACAGGCGGTGGAGGCTGCAAGTCGAAGCGAGGGCCGGCTGTGCAGGCCGGCAGGTGGAAGGATGGTAGCGGAGCCCAAGTAGGGCAAGAGTCGCTGGCAAAAGTCTGCTTGTCGACCTTTACCCTAGAAGCATGACTCGGCTCACCTATAAGCTCTGGGTCCAGGAGCAGTATCACATTTTCAGCTGCGCGCTGAATCCACTCGTCCTCGGCACGGTCGTTGGCCCAGCGACGTACAGTAGCTCTAAGAACCTGGAGAGGTTCGATGACTTCAATCACAGTGTCCCAGACCACTGATTCGTCACAGACCGGCAAGGCGTGAAGCTCGGAAAGAAGAACCGAGGAGAGGTCTTCACATGTGTCGGAAGGTGCGTGCTCCCCAAACGAACCTGGAACCTGAAAGGGAGGCATCTGCGGATGATTGCAAGCAAGAAGATCACATGTACCTTCCGCAGGGGAAAAGGATCCCCAATTGGCAATGCAGCGGGCGCTGGCAAGCAAATGGCGACGAAGTCTTCCGACTGTGCCATACGCTCTTCCGCACGCAAAACACAAGGGGGAACGTCCTAGGAGGAAGGCTCTTGACCTGTATCCATGAACACGCGCAGCGTGGCCGGACCACGCAACTCTTGAGGGAAATAGTTTGGCGCATGGGATACAGGCTTCAGTCATGTCAGCACCGATGCTTGTGGCAGCCCCAACAGAGGGCGCTTGGTCCCTCAGAGCCCGATAAAGGCCATCGAGCGCTGCGATGACTCGGTGTCGACAGTTGGCAAGTGCTTGAGCTCGAAGGATCAGCCCTTTGTATCTTCCTGGTTGATCGCAGATGAAATCTCTCCACTTGGTCCAGTGCTCGAGTGGGTGCTGCAAACTACTGGTCTGGTGCGTCCAGGAGAAGAGCCAGTCCAGGGAGTTGCGTAGCGCAGTAAGGTAGGCTATGTCCGCTCGCACCGCAGCCCATAACTCATTCGGACCCTGCGTGACTAATAGCCGAAGGTACAGCAGACGCTGCACATGCAGTAGGTCAACGGGACCAGGCAGCCCAGTCAGGGCGAGCACAGTGCTGGCATGAAAGTGCTGATCTCCGCTCGCAGGAATGCCGCATATGGCCCGGTACAGGGACCAGAGCGTCCCGCCAAAGGATTGGAGCTCCCGTTTCTGCAAAGGGGGCCAGGACCCACATCCATAGAGCAGTTTGGGAAGGACGGACGCCTTGAGTATGAAGGCACGCCGGTGGATTGGGACCCCTTTGGCCTTGTAGATCTTCCTCCGGCCCTCAGAGAAGGCAGCCCATGCCTGGGCAGTACGATAGCGGATCTCAGCTAGCATGCAGCCGCGAGTCGCCTGAAACACACCTAGATGTCGGTAGGTGGCGATCAGAGGCACTCCGACTGGCTGGGAGGATTCTCGCAAGGCCTGAATAACACCTTTGTGCCCGACCGGCCCAAACAGAGTGCGGCGGGCTGTGCGTGATCCGGGTCCTGATGCTTGTGCGAGGACAGCCGTCTTGTTCGGTCCGAAAGACATCCGGAATCCAAAATTGGCAAAAGCATCGCAAGTGCTTCCGACACAAGCGGCGATAGCGGCATCAAGGCGAGAATTCGCCCTGCATAGCCGCATGGTTGCTGTGTCGTCTGCCCAAATGAGGTCTCCCAGTGGGATTGTTTCGCTCTGCTCGGAACACTCAGTGAGCACTTTTTGGCCATCCCAGGGAATCCGAGGGGCTTCAGCCGCAGAGTGGTCGTCTAGGCCCTCCAAGGCATCACGTTCGTCAAGGACTCTGCCCATCAGCATGCCGAACATGATGTCTGCCCAAGAAGACCCAGGTCGGGTCCCTCTAGCTGTGAGTACAGCTGAGGAGTCGTCTTTAAGCATGAACCATGAGCGATCTGAGAGTTGTTGCGACAGGGCTTCTAGCCAAGGGCTAGCACCTGCACGTTGGAGCCCGGTCTGTTCTTTTACGTGCTGCCTTAGAATTTCAAGTTCATCTTCAGAGATGCCTAGCCCTTTACAAACCGATTCCGGTATGTCCTGGCTGGCTTCGCCTTCGAGACGAGGGGCAGCAACAAGCTGCCGCACCACTGCGTAGAAGGCAGATGCAATATCTGAGAACAGAACAAAACAGCTACGTTTCCGCCCCCAGTTGTAACGAAGGAAGGATCTGACCAGGTGCGCTCCAAAGCACACGGATTGTCCAGGCTTGCCTCCGAGCTGAAGAGAGGGGGAGCGTCGCACATACAGCTCACGAATAGCCGGCCGAACTGCTTGATGCAAGATTTTGGCAAAACAGGGCAGCAGAATGATTTGGCGGAATGATTCACAAAGGTCCTTCGCGCCACGTCCCTTGTGAAACCACACTGCCATTCCACCCTTCAAGCCCATTGCCTCTTGACCTCTGAAGACTAGCTTCATCATGAGGGGAAAGAGAATTTCAGCACAGTTCGCGGCAAAACCTCGCAGGAGTTCATTGGGCAGGCCATCCATCCCTGGAGCCTTGCCGCACTTGGCTGAGAGCATGAGACGTACGAGATCTGGTTTGGTAGGTAAGTCACCTACATGTTGCGGGGCAGGCCAAAGGATGGAACCGACATCAAGGCATGGGCCTAGCTCTGAGGGGGCCATGGTAGTGCCAGCCTCCATGGCCGCAAAATATTCCCGCCAGCGTTTAAGGGCTGAAGGGCACACGTGTCCTTGCGCGTCTTTGACCTGTGGTAAAGGCTCCGGAGCGTAGGTTTTCTTGCGCTTATGCCGGAGCAGCTTATGAAGGGCATCGTGCACCTCAGAAGTGGGGCCTGTTGCAAGTCGCTCGGCCAAAGCATTGGTATACATCGCTCTGTCCTGTTGGCAGGCTGTGCGGAGGGCTTTGCTGTCCACCCGGATTCGATACATGTGCAGTATCATGCTGGTCAGGGCCCGCTCGGTCCATGCCCCGGACCATGGGGTACAGACTGTTGAAGCTCCGGTTCCAGCCCAAAGGTCAAAGCAGAAGGCCAATGCTGCAGTCCGTACGTGCTGCTGAAGCCGGCTGAGTCCCCTCTTGAGGCTAGAGACGCGTTTCTGCAGAGCCCAAGTGGCATCCTGTAGGTAGACGTGGTGAGGCCTTGACTGCTTAATTGGTGCAACCTGAGCAAGCTCTTGCTGCAAGTGTTGCACAACAATGGCAGCATGCGCATGCACCGAGGTGTGCCATGGTACCTGTGGAACAGATGCAAGGACTCGCTGGATGTCTGGCTTCAGGGCAGGATCAGTAAACATCTGCCGCGGCAGTCGGGCGCGCCCCTTGGAATTACATTTACCAGGCATGCTCATGCTTACTTGGCTGCGAAGGAGGGTCGCAACGTGATCTATCCCGTTAGTAGCAACCTGAATACCATGGTCTACCCAGGAGCGACAGAACCCATGTTGCCAGGAGCTAGGGACGGAAATGAAGTCGGGGCGACAGGGCCTGCCATTCCTTTTCTGGAAGAAAGTGGCTGTAGGTCCGTCTTGACATGTTTCGAAGGTGCATGGTACCCAGCACTGGTTGGTGCGAAGGAGTTCGTGAAAGAACTCCCCTGGAGTGTCCTCCTCTTCCTGGCCGAAGTCGGACACATGGGGTGAGGGAATGCTGCCAACAGAGCAGTTCATATCCCCAGCTATGACAACAGGGTCATTGCGTCGATGCCGGGATAGGATCTTCTGTGTGTCTTGCCACCAGGTCAATAGCAACTGCCTCTCCGTGGCTCTGTGCGGAGCATGTAGAGAGCAGAATACAAGAACAAACTTGCCCGCGCTGTATCTGGCTATGATCCGTCGCGGGTCAGCATGTAAGATGCTGAAATGTCTCTCCGCAAAAATCGCATCTGAAAGGTTGCCGGAGCAGGTGCGTAGGACGCGGCTTCCCTCCCGAAACCAAAGTTCAGTGCCGTGATGGCCTTTGTCTGCTCCCCCCGAGTATCTAAGAAAGCCTCCTATCTTAGAGAACCCTTGTGGGCAGCGCGTCTCTTGCAGGGCGGCAACGTCTACCCCACAGTCTTGGAGCTGACGCGCCAAAAGAGCGGCTCGAGCTGGGATTTGATGAAGACCCTGACACCCGGAGCCGGCACCAGAGTCGGTTTCAAGGCCCGCTCCCAAACTGAGGGTATTGAATGAGGCAATACACAGGTCCATTGAAAAGAGGGATGGAGTGTCCATCTGGCCATCGGGTGCTTTCTCAACTTCAGCTGGCATGAAAGGGGCTAGCATTTGATGATAACT